GGTTATATTAGAATATCAAATTAACACCGCTGTCATTGCTATCGGTAATTTTTAAATTTTGAATGTTTTCAATTGGAATGGGAATAATGCAAGAATAACAGTATCTAATGGAAAATTATGTTTTGTCAAATGTTAAAGTTGTAGCTGAAATGTCAGGTTAAGAATGCATTGTATTTAAGATGAAATATATTTGTTGCTTTAGAATGCCCTTAAATGCACTTTAAAAAAAATAAGATTGCTTTTGTAAAATATGTTACGTATTATATAGACTCCTTAGTATTCAAGTTCCTTAGGTTCTATCATGCAAGTTTCGGCTTTTGACCAAACAAATTCATTTATTGGCCCCACCTTGTGTTAATATATAAGATGTAAAATTACGATAACATCACAGAAAACATACAGGGAATCAGTAATACAAAAGTTACTTACATTCGGTATCAGCATCGTATTTGTAAATATAATGCTTCTCGTAAAATGTAATATACGAATTACTCGTCCTAACTTTTATTGATATGTCTTTAATAAACTAAAACACTAAACAAAATCTTAAAAAATATACCATAGCAAGGAATACAGCCGTGATTTAGTAAAACCGGTTCTAAGTTCCGACGGTTTGACAATTTAAAATACTTACTGGCCTCTCACAAATACTGACGATTTCAAAAACAATTTTACGATGAGACTTCACAGAACCTGTTAGATTGTTTTTGACATGTTTGTTATCTGGAGCGACTCTATGCAACCAGTAGCTGTAGATACCTTGGCTAACGTCCTGTTGTGGCGAACACATGTTGACCCTGATTTCCTAATCATCTGCCGAGTATTATATTTTCTTTGTTTACGGTCATTCTTTGGGGAGCTACATTGTGTTGGTTTTTTATAGTGGGTATTGTAGGCAACTTAAACTAGTTAACCCCGCGAAATTGCCTATTTGCGCCAACTTAGGCTTACACAACCATGTGCTATTCGTTTCTGTTTGTCTGGGTTTTTCCAAAGGAGTCAGGTGTTGGTACTTGATACAGTCTGTTGCAGATGGCTTTACTTTTTAGGATTCCTGTTATACCTATTAATGAATTTTAAAACTAATTTCTAGAACTTAGCAGGAATGTTTTAAGACTTTAATTCTTACAATATCTTATGTCTTATGTCAGGACAGTGTGTTTGTTCCCGAATAAGACTTATTTTTTTGAAATCGTGTCATGGGCATGGAAAGAAACGTCAAAAGTGAGTAGAGTATGAGTCAACAAATGCCTTAATATTGATCTGTTACCGTCGTTGTCGTTATTGGAAGCTCTCGTAGATGTAATACTTTTCCCTTAGTTCTCTTAAGAATCAGCTTTGGAAAATGCAGAAGTAAAATTCAAACTTTCAGTGATTATATTTTACCTTGCGGTACTCTCAACGTTAGTTTTTTAATATAAGTGATTGTCATATATTTCCATCTGATGTGCTGTGAAACCTACTGAAGAGCTGTGTTATCTGATTAGGATTTTGTTCAAATAGTGTACTTTCAATATATACCTTCCTTAATGTTATAGTGCAAATTATCAAGTGCTTCCATTGGTTAGTGTACATGTAATCTTTCAAAAGGCAGTATTTCATTTTCCTTTTAAAATTGCTCATATAGTTTTTCATGTGTTTTGGTACTTACACATCCTTAACTGTTGGCTTTGAGCGTTCCTAGAAAAGCTGTTTGGACGCTTACAAATTGTTATTTTAATTTCTTTTAGTAAAACAACACAATACCGTTTATTTTGCATGTATATCATAATAACAAAAGAGGAAATCTGAAAAAAAACATACTTTAAAACAAAGCACCTACTACTTTGAATAAAGTATTATTTTGATTTTTTCAATTCTTGTATCTACACACCTTCAGGAAATATTTGTTTGTTTATCGCCTCAATGATGTAATATATCATAAATAAAAGTTCATTCTTCAAAGTTATTTCAACACGATTTTTTTTCTTAAAACTATTTGTTTTTTTTCTTATATAAGTTAACTGAAGGCCAATATAAAAAAACTTTGTTTGGTTAGTTGGCTGCATATGACAATGCTAACATTTATATAGTATCAGTTATTTAATTACCGGTATTTGGCTGGAACTTTCTAGCCACGCTTCTAATTAAAATAAAAATACAAAATTTGTTAGAAAGTATGTTTTTTTTTCAGATTTCCTCTTTTGTTATTATGATATACATGCAAAATAGACGGTATTGTGCTGTTTTTCTAAAAGAAATTAAAATAACACTTCTTAAATTTGTTTGACTGAAACACTTTGCTGTGTTTACCTTCATCAGGGATGGTTAATACCCCAAAATTGTAAGGCCAAGGATGTATAAATACATTAGCACATAGAGAGGTATATGGTCAAAAGGGACAAAAAAGAATACCTCAATAAATCCAAGATCATTGCCTGAGGAGGTATGCACATTTTGTCATTACCAAAGCACCTACTTCTTATTCGATGAACCTGTCGGAGACTTACCAGCAGGGTATCGACCCAGAGCTAGAAAAAAATAAAATAACACTTTCTAATTGTGCGGCGTCCGAAACGCTTTTCTACATCACCTTTATCTGGAACGCTCATATCCATTATATTGAAAGCCAATAACGTATAACTACATAGACACGTGAGGAGCTATTAATCAAAAGAGACATAACAATAACCAAATCAATCTAAGGTTAAGCGGAGTATTTTATTAGCACTATATTTAGAATTAATATGAATTCGACGACAATGAATAATGGTGTATTGACTGATAAAAGGACGTAAACGCATCCATCACTCAACGTTGTTTAGTCTTTTTTAGAAAGTTGTTAATTATTTGTTCGATTTAAAGGCAAATCCTCACGTTTAATCACACGTTGTGATGCGTTCAACTTCATGATAATTATGTTATTCCAATCGCATTTACCGAAAAGATTGTAATAGGTTTCAATTTTCAAATATTTTGGCATCAAAAACCAAAGAAAACATTAATTGTCAAAATCCGCAGCTGGGGCAGTTATATTGGTATCGTCTATAAAACCAGGTTTAATTCACCATTATCTACACAAGGAAATGCCTGTTCCAATGTAGGGATATGACAGTTGTTTTCCATCTGTTTGATGTGTTTGGGCTTTTGATTTTGCCATTTGTTAAGGGACTTTCCGTTTTAAATTTTCCTTGGAATTCTGTATTTTTGTTATTTTACTTGTAAATGTATTTTCCACCACTTGGTCAATTACACTGCTAGTGAACTGTTTGTCCCTGAGAGAGTTTTTGAGCACAATCCTTGGTAGTTTTTAATGAATTACTCCCCAAGTAATAAAACAAAACCTTTTAAAAAAGGATTTGTCAGCTACTTTGTTTTGACAATAATAGGATCAATTATTTCAGAATAGCGCTTTCCTGCAATCAAGTGGCTTAATATTGCATCACGTTTGTTATACTCGAAGATAAAACACATGATCTTTTTCTAATCATGCAATGTCCGTGTTTTCATAGTCTTTTTACTATTTTATTTCAAGGTAAAACCTCAAGCTCAAGCTCAAGCAAGCTCAAACAAATCTTAATGTTACTATTAATTCCTGACGCAATGTCCATTAGTACCTGGCAAATCAAAAATATGTATCATATGTTGCATAACCAATCCTAAAACAACCCTGCAACTGTGTTTGAAACATTAACAGTAACTAGCCAGATTGGATGACTCTGAGGATAGATTCGGATACTGATAGATACGATCATTGCAGAAAGGGCTTGATCTGTCGACACATTCGGTCTGCCGCCGATTGGAGATCATACGAAATACTCAGTATTTGATGTTAACTTCCTTTGTATATTCTCTAATAGAGAATATGAAAACGGAGAATGTGTCAAAGAGACAACAACCCGACCAAAGAGCAGAAATCAGGTCATGGATCGCATTGAGGAAATCCTCCCATTAACACCTAGTCCTTTGTTAATTCTATGTTGATCATTGTCATTTTGTGCTTTTGTTTATTTCACTTTGGCAGTTACTAACATGCCAGCTCCAGACCTCAATTATACTCATCGAAAGATTATTTCTTCATCATATGAAAATCAACCACAATCCCTCCCGTTAGTTTAGTATTATGTCATCATTAATTATGCAAGAAGAACATAACTCGTATCATGCCAAACATTTGTTTTTGAATAACTGTGTTTATTTTCGATGCAAAGACCCTATGAGTGAATCCATATGGATTTTTTTTTAAAAATGCCATATTTAATGACTTAAAAACAATATCGTAACTACATCCTTTGTGGATAAGTCTGTTCAAAAGTTTGGTTAGTTTTTAAGGTTATTGACGACATTTTTGTGCCTTGTAAAGAGTTTTACCATAAAAGATGGAATGCGAATACATTAAGGTATAAGATGTCTAGATCTGCAAGTTGATTTCTATTTACGAATGACGTCCTTGTACCGATGATAAAATTGAGTAAAAATGTTGACAAGTTTGTGATATCGACAACCCTGGTGTAATAATTTTTCAGAAATACAGAAATTATTTTCGTTAAAATAAAATATATTGTCACATACACCAGCGAATCGAGAAAGTTGAGATATAAACTCCATACGATGGAGCCGATGGTACGTCACCATCTAGAAACGGAAATTTAACAAATCATCTTTTTTATCGCGAAATGTAGTATTAAGCTTCCTGTTAGAGATATAAGTAGCAAGATCCAGGAAAATGCAGTGTTTATTGTAAGTATTAGCTTTATTTAAAGTGAGTTCAACAGGAAAGATTTCTTTTAAATGTAAATACTGAAGTCGTCATTATTGAGAGTCAAAATATCATCCAAATATCTAAAAGTGTTATTACAGGTTTGTATCTGATGTTGTTTCGATGTGTGTTTACTGATGTAGACATACATTGTGATTAGTAACATCACGGAAACAGGTCTGTAATAAGTGGTGCATTTTGAGTCCACCTCGGAATTCCGATAACTGGGCAATATACGAAATCTCCATAGCAAACAAAAATGTTATCTTGTAAAAATTTAAGTACAGTTAGCATTTCAAAGCAGGCCCAATTGACATAGTTCTTTTGTTTATCGTTTCTAAAAAATTAACTAAACGAGTTCGAACATGTTGAATATATATATTCACATTCTGACTTTTTAAAAGCCCTAAATAGATTTCCAATAACAAGTTAAACATTGCATATCCTACCAAATACTTACATTATCGAAATCAATATCACGTGCAATATGCATGAAGTGCAGAGTTAATGGAACTACAGGTATATCAATAAAGAACAGCAATCAATAAAAAGTGAATATATGTAAATATTTTAGGAATACGAGAAGATTTCACATGTGCCTAGACACATATCAAGCTTTGTTAGTTCTTTGAATTTTAATTGTCGCAATTTTCATTTCTAATTATTTCTTCTGCAAGCTCTCTCTGCTTTTTCAACATTTTCTCCGCATAACCTGAAACAAAATTATTCATTATAATCAATAAGAAAAATTTCATGTGATAATACATAAGACTAGCATACAATCATATCTAGATAACAAATTTGAATACGATAAACATATATTCGAAATTCAGCTGAAAATCATTAGACATGCACGAGTAATTGCTAGTACTATCAACTTAACGTTTGAATGTTCCAGGAAAGAGATTAAAAAACTGATGTTTAGAATGGAAAATTGTTATACCAATATAGTCCGACATTTGAAGTTCAATATCATTAATAGCAATTGAGAAGGTAGAAGCTATGAAACAGTAAATGTCAATGAATTGCCCATTACAATTTAATTTTCATGTATTTTGTCATAAATTTTAATTAAAATGACAAATTAATTTAATACATAATTATCACTTATTTAATATCACGATAAACTGAAACTGTCAACTTCACAATCCGAATTTCCAAGGTTTATGAAAGTAACCAAAACCTGTTTGTAAGAAAAAATCTACGTTAGTTGGTCTCTAGTGGAGAATTGTCTCATTGGCGATCATATAAAATCTTCTTATTTCTATAAAAACTACTTCATAAAATATGAACGAAAGCATGCCGATAATACAACATAAAAATGAAATATGATACAAGATATACATTTTTTATTAAAATTTAAAAGAATAACCACACCAACCACATCAAACCGACTCTTCCCAAACAAAGACTGGTATTGATGCATATACTATCAATGGATGTACAGTAGACGTATAACTTCATGTTGACAAAATTTTCATATCATGTTAAACAGATCTAGACAGTATATTTTACCAAAATATCCTAACATACTCATTAAAATATAAGAACAAAACCTGCCTTTTGGTCTGTCTTTGAAACAAGGACAACACGGACACTTTGCGACATAACAGACACAGCCTAATGGCCTCATGAAAAGATTTATTGGTGAAGGAATTCTATTTTCATAACTAATAACCACTGAATGTCTATGGTATCGCCATTTCTGTTTTGACTTTTCTGTTATTGAGTTGAATCGTGCACTGCAAATGAAGTCAAATATTTTGTAAACATTGAATACTCAGACATATTTGACAGGCTCAGCAACATGCTATTTAACGCTATGCATTTTAAAGTCGAATATAGAACATCAATCACACGTCTTTCTGAAGATGAAAGTCAACTGTTACAAAATAGTCAAAGAAGTGATTGGGATGTATGTAGGTTAATAACGATGCTTTTAATTATCCATGTTTGCATCGGAGCAATCAGCATGGAATGGGTTGACTATAATTAAGAATTGTTTTGTTAAAGAAGACTTTATTGTTAAATTGTTGATATTTTCTTTTTGCATTTCCATATGTAATCTTTTGTTTACTTCTTTTTTTAAAGTTTGATCTCCACAATACATTATGAAGGCAAATCCGCTGTAAGAACGCAAATTTGTGTCTTACATTTGTCTATAAATCACATAAATTGTTGCACATTGGAACTTTGGTACATTCATAATATATAACCATAAAAGTCGCAGATAATGAGACAATGTATGAAATCTGAGGTTGTTGTAAAATTGTAATACATCAAATATATACTTGTATGTAAACATTTAGATGTAAATATTTTAACATTAAAAACCCAGGATGTTGGCATTATAATTGTATAGCTATTGTCATATTTGATTCTTCGATGACATTAATTTTATAGCTAAGATACGAAGAAAACCCGATTATGGGTCCAGTGCTATCACCAATATATACGTTTAGTCATAAAACTACTGTCATTCTATATAGACGTAGGAGAAACAAAAGGATGCATCAACAGCGCTTAAAAAAATGTCCATTCTATTTTCTAATTGATTTGTTGATTTAGAAACTCATAGTTATGCCGACAAACAGGTGTCTGGTAAAGCATTTTTTTTAAATATTTTGTCTTACACATGCTGTTGTTATAAACAAACTTAAAACAGGCAGTTTATGATAATATTTAAATCTATGCAATGTTCAATGCATTTTCTGTAACTTGAATCGAATACGAAGCTATAGAAAATATTTCACATTGAAAATTTTGGTTGCTACCTCAAGAAATACAAATAAATAAAAACTAGACATGCACATTTGTAAACAGAATTATATTGTTGGTTGCAAGAAAAATTGCTCGCAGTTTCAGTACTTACAGATTTTTAATAAAAAATATGTATGCAAACCTGAACATAGCTATGACTATGTTTAATAACAACCAGTTGGACAGCATCATGTAAAACGCTGCTATTACAGGAGTTATCCAGTCCTTAGTGGGACACCTCTCAACCGTTGGATCATTTCTCCAAACTGTTGTATTATCTGTACAATTACTGTTATCTGACGTGTCGAATGCTACAGTAAACAGTGTAAACCCTTTATACTGCAATGTTAGTTCTTCAAATATCTAATGTAAAAATGAGCTACATGAGTAAAAGACCAAATAGCCTATTTTATGCGCCTTAGCTAATGCAACTTGATTTGTACATGAAAGCTCTATGACGTTGCCTTCTTTTCGGCAAAAAGCGGAAATTTATAACATCCCTTCTTAGATTCAAATCTACTGTTAAACGTGAGAAAAATTTATTGCTTTATGTTCGATAATAAAGGATTATTTAAAGTTTTGATTAAACAATGTTCATATTTGGGGAAAGCACGAAACTAGGGTTCTTGTAGTGTTTATGACCCCCCCCCCCAATTTTTTCATCATATTTTGTTCCCAAAGTCATTTTAAAACATTGAAACAAAATTTTAAGAAAAAAATCACTCAGTCTGGTAGTACTAAATAGACTGTTTGGTCTTTAAAGTAATAACTTAAAAAAAAAAACATGATCGTGTGTATATTTAGGTGCCATTTTTTCACACCCTTTATTTAGACTGTAAATATATTATTATTTTTCAGGTAGAATCAACTATTATAAAACATTTAAAACTAGTCATGGATTCATGTTAAAATAAGTGTATCATCATTCTAAATATTATTTTCAATTAATGTAGATATTTTTGTGGAAGTTTCAATCTGTTCTAACGCCATATGTTTGTTAGTGTGTTTAATACTTGGTAATATGACAGCTTTGCAATTGAATTGATCTACAACATGCAAATAATTTCCTTCTCGTATGCGCCAGAATTCATCTCCGAATGAAGACTGTATTTTGCATGTAAAATCACAAAAATACTGAACTCCGAGGAAAATTCAAAAAGGAAAGTCCCCAATCAAATGGCAAAATCAAAAAAACAAACATATCAAACGAATGGATAACAACTGTCATATTCCTGACTTGGTACAGGCATAAACATTACATATTGAATAACAAAACAACACAATATATGAAGTGCAACGAAAAGGTAAAACATTACTGCTACAAATTATAAATCGATAATACAAAAAATACAGTAATACAAGTTTCAATGTCGCCAGATTTTCGGGAAGGTTTTAAACAACTCGAATATAATGAGTGTCAAATAAATTCTACACCAGTCTCAAAGGGGATTTGTTGCATCTCTAAGAAACAACGAAGTATATATTCATAATGAGGTTTACAAAATAATTGATTCAATCACTTGTAATGCAACTATGACTACAATCTTTTAAGGACACAGGCAAATTGACGACATTTAAAAAGATCGGATGAAAACAACTTAACATATTATAATGATTCTAATATCGTTTCAGGGCCTACACAAGCCAATAACGGTTTTGGAAGAATGATTCGAATATTTAACTAGTATAATATATTTAATCTTTGCGAAATTGATTTTTCCGATTTAATCAGTTCATTTAGCAAATGTATAGCATAGGCTTTAAATTTGTAAGTACTTTCATACAAATCCCATCCCTTGAAATTTAGAAACATTATATATCGTCTACACCGATTTCATCTGGGTTCTTCTTAGAATATTTGTAATATTCATTTTTCATTTATATTTTTTGAACACGTGATTCCAATTTCGATTTATCAAATTTGCCTTGATTGAAATTGAGTCATTTGGAGGGAAAACGGGTCATGGAACATTTTTGCATACAGATATATGCTTTATGACGTCAAATCTTTCCGGGAAAAAGCAACAGTTGGAAGATCATGTATCATGCTCAAAAACGTTTAATTTGCAATGCTTTTATCTGTTTTTCTGGAATTTAAGACACTAGTGACACCAAGTTGAATAACCAATTGCATGTTTTGTCAGCAGGATTAAATATCCACAAGGCACACATAATTATGATTATATTATGACGTTCTTTTTTCGCTTTGTAAAGCCATGTTTTAATTCCTATAGAAAAGGAGGTGCATAATATTGGCGTCACAATTATAATTGCAACATTACTTGTATTTTGAATAACGCAACACAATAAGGCACAAGGTACGATTACGTTGAAACGTAACAATAACTGTTTTTGTTATTGTCACGTTGGACACTAATTGCCGGAATGTTAGGTTGGGTTTGGAACCGACTAATTACTAACGTAACAATAATGTGTGTGTCTACAGTGGTTACGTTGCGTTATTGTTACGTTAAATTTATCAAACTTCTAACAGACTAGTTTTGAACACGAATTCTCCGATGTGCTTGATAATTAAATAGTTTTTATGTATTAATTATTTTAATATTATTCAAGATAATAATACAGGTTAGTAGTGCCAAAGGCGAAAATATATAGTTCAATGGTTCGATATTTGGAAGAACAGTATTCACTTGTATGTACCTAACTACACACTCACGCTCATAACTTTCAATACACTTTGAACAATGGACGAAGTAATTCCCATAACCAAATTTTCATTGGGTGAAAAATTAAAACTTTGGATGCGTTTGAATAAAAAAAAAGGAAAATTAAAACTTTGGATGCGTTTGAATAAAAAAAAAAGAAAAATTGTACAGTTATATAAATGGAGCTCGCTAAAAATTGATACATCAAAAGCAAATTTTGACAGAAGTGAACTAAACTATTGTGAATTTGTGTGTGCATATATCCACGGAAGACGTAATTTCGTTTCAAAATCAGATAAAGGACGTCCAAACCAAAGGTATGTTTTTTCTTCCTATATAAATATCAATGTGTTATATCATCAATACGAATTTAAAACAATTACATTCATGTGGTAAAATCGAAGTTTAAAAAGACACAGACTTCAAATTATCCGTGTTGTCGTGCTAGGTTGTATATTTAAAGCCGAATTGAACATAACATCAGTAATGGAAGGAAATGAAATAATATCGACAAAAATTTTGGACGAAAATATAAATATATCAAGAATAAGAAAAAAAAGGTTTTCACCTGAAGCATGGAAGGCATTGAAATCTGGTACAATTTCAAAAAGGAAAATTTCAGAGTGGAACTGTTTAGTGTGCAAAACCGACGTGCACATTGCAGCTTCTCTCGTTTGTGATGGCTACCAAAATGCGTCGGGCTAAAACATGCACCAAAAAGCACAGACTGGATATGCAGAAGCTGTCATTGTTAATAAGATATGTCATCTGTATGCATTATTTCATCACTGAACTGTTTACGAATAAACATGTTCAAGTTGTATTTTAATATACTACACACATATGAGACATACTATGTATATTACTATTACCATTATACATTGAAATGCATTAACATTAACACAACGTAACCGGAGACACAAATAGTATTGATACGCTCGTAATTTATCGGTTCCTGACCCAGCCTAGCATTCCGACAATTAGTGTCCAATGTAACAATAACGTTATTGTTATTGTTTCGTTTCAAACGTTATCTGGGCCAGTGCCTTAAAATAAAGGTAAGTGTTGGTGTTCCACGTTTAGAAATTAACTACAATTATTCTTTAATAAAGTTGCATATATCTATTCATTTTCTAATTGTGAAACGGTTTGTTTTCTATAACGTTTTAGCTTCATCAAACAAAAAATGAGTGAGTTTCTAACGTGTCTTTTAGATCCATTCCTAAGTACAAAAAAATTAAACATTCCTTTTAGAATCGAAAACAATATATCCCGTCATGTGCTATGGTTAAATTTAACATTGGGTGGAATTATAAATGTCAATATTCCGCATTTTAGTATTTATAGGCCAAACACATACAATATAATCATGAATCACAAAATATATAAAATTAGATCTTACAAAAGTAAGAGGCAACTTTAATATTTAATTCCTTTATGTGATCCAAAAATAGATTCAACACCAGAGTACCCATTTGATACGTTACCCTTCTTATACTCTTTTTAATTCTTACCTTCCAGTATGTCCAAGAACGGCTCGCCGTAAACCTGCCATTACGGTATTTTGAGTATTGTCCAAATTCGCCAGTTCTGAATTCCATCTGGAAATGGTTTGACATCATGATTTGGATATATGTTTGCATGATAAACCGTACCAGCAGCAATAATCAAAATCATCAGAATGACCAAGTAATACAATAAATCCATAAGCTGAAACATATGCACATATAAAACAGAGCTATAAAGACTGAATGCTTTCTTAGATAAACATCTGAAAATACATTATTGTTAAAATACAGATACCTGACAAATATTTCTGTCCTGAGATTTATCAAAGTTCTTTCAATGAACTTTCTTTGGTACTTGAGATTACAAAACATTTAACAAGGGAAACTGGAAAATCACATTGCTAAGATACAAAACATCAATATGAATATCGTAATTGAAACGACTAGACTGAAAACGGTCGCAATGATCTAACTAAACAGTTAATTATTAAATTGGTAAAGATGAATATTTCATAAACTCCAATTTCTCACGGATGACATTACGGTTGTCTTTGGTTCACCGTAAAATCCGGCAATTTAAGAAAGGAAAAAGGGAGGATAACAAGAACTCATCATCAAGAAATAAAACGACAAAATAGCAAACAATGGTCATTTAAACAATTCAGAATTCTCAGGAAACATGATGCGTAGGACATACTTAAGAAAATGAGGAACACAGATTCAGTATGAACATTCTAAATAAGAGATACAAAATTCATAGTATAGTATAGTAAATAATACTTGCCATTTCTTTGATCATAATAATGATGATACCAATATTTTGAAACATTAGAAGAATATTGAATGAGCGAAGGAACATAAGAAACAATGCCAAACTATATATTCTTCTAGTATGAACAAGTATTTCCTCGGGACCAACTGCATGCATTATGAAGGCAGTGATGTACAAAACATCACATAAGATGTCCACAAAGTTCCATATGTCAAAAATATGCAGAAATATACGTTGTGGCGACCAGTTTCCATCTTCCGGCCTTATCTAAAATATAGAATGGAAAGGAATAAAAAGCAACAGAAAAAGCTGTCAATTTTAATTTCAGAAAACCTAGTTCAGTTGTTTTTGTTCTTGAAACGTATTCAGTTTGTAAAATGGAGTAGTTCTAAGAATAAATGAAATAGTTTCTTTTTCTTTCTCGTCTTAACATTACGATAAAAAAGGATTTAATAAGTAACATTTAGTTTAATAGTTTATGGTTATTTAATTGATAGCATTAACGGTACCAATCTTATTGACCAGATGTGCAATTCGACAATTGTTGTCTTTTCGGTGACTTTTAAAGCCAAAAGATTTTAAATTACAAACAAAATTCAAAATTAGTAATACTGATAAAACAAATAGCAAAACAGACCAAAAGTAAATCCATTCCTTGACGAGGAATCAGAGGGATATGTCTATTTCTTATGCTCTGGGTAATGGTAATTGAATTCTAACTGTAGATAAAATGTAACTACAAGAGAAAAACTCAAATGGTATTTACTTTGCTTGTTTAAGTTAAATGTTATGAAAGCTGTCAGTCAGATACAATAACAATTTCCTGAAGGGTAGAAATGATTTTAAAATTGAAAACAACACCTTCTAAACGACATGCATCCGATGCGCTATTCTGGATTTACCAGGAATGCTCAATGCTGAATATTTGTAAGCCACGGATGTATAAGAACCGAAACATTTAAAGAGCTATATGACCAAAAAAGGACATAATAAGAATATTCATCTTTGATAAACTAAAACATTGATGGACCATGTATTTTTCTCTTCGAAATGTAATATGTTGCAACTAGAATAAACGCGCACACTATTACTATCTACAAGTTAATCTTAGTGAAGAATTATTATGATGATCCTACAATGAACAATTGATAATTACTTTTTTTTTTGTAATTGCATTTTATGCATTGTGGGCATTTACATTTTGTACACCTACATTGAAATTTGTATTTCTGCCAGATTTGAAATCATACTTATATCTTGAAATCAGTTCACAGTGATACATATTTAGTTAATATAATATTTACTTCAATTTGCAGTCCAACTCAACACTCACGTAATGAATTCCGAAAAGATAATTAAAATATATACTAAACAATGATTTCAATTTGTTCTCTACAGAGAACATTTTATATATATTCACCATAAAAAAAGCAAACCTACTAAATTAAATATTTCTTCTATGAAGTCGCCGATTATCCAGACGGAAACTATCCATTCCAATACAGACACGGAATTGTATTTCATGTCAGTCATTAGGAAAATCGAGAACATAATGAGAACTGCAATAAAGAATGCCTAAAATAAAGAGAATAAATATCAAAATGCAAAGCAGTAAATGATTATTCATATACGACGTTGCACACTATTATAGAATAAAAAAGAGGCGGAGTATTTTTTCTTGGTGTTACTACTGTGTTTACTGTGCCACAATGTACTGTTAAACTAAATCAAAGTCTGAAACACTTTTTAAGAACAGTTTTTGAATACATCGACCCAGTTTAACATCAATAATTGGTAGTACGGAATGACTGACAGAAGGATCACATAAATTCAAGTATTTAAGTGTATCGTTTTTTCGGAATGTCGAATTCTTATCAAAATTATATTATTCTTTTTCGTAAGGCTCCAAGTGAGATTCAGTTTCTGCAATTAAAATTATTTCAACGTTGATTATGAGATATTTGTTTTTAATAAATCAAAGTAATATATCGCATGTGTTGACGAATTATTTTATTTCTAGATAAAAACTGACATACATGACAAATACCAGTATTCTTAATTATGGGGAATTTAATCCTAATCCTTTTGAACAATATCGATCGGTTCATTTAAAAAAAGGTGAGTTGTTAGGAGATAGAAACTACGTGACTATAAAGGTATAATCAACTAAAAACCACTATAAGTAGTACTCAAACTAAGTACGCTCACGTGACGAAGGATAATAATGCTTTTGTCAAGGATTAACAAACCGTTCCAATTAGAAAACTTCCGTCCAAATCAGAATAAAATCAAATTGATACTTGTGGCGTCTTTTTACGATCAATACAATTAAGATGTTGAATTAGAACTCGGAAGATCTTCTAATTTTATGCATTTAGTAAGATTTTAGTTACCACATCAATCATCATTCTGCTCACTGGTGCTGTAATATATTTATACCATTTTTGTTCTCGGTGGTGGTGCTTGAAGAAAACAAAAGACATAAAATGGGCGTTACATAATGGTTATCAATGTAATTTAGTTTAACACGAATGTAGTAACTTTTTTCAGATAATTTAAAAAAAATGCAAGAGTCTCCAACACTCAGTCAGGATTCTACTTCGTCAAAACTATCTCCCCATTACGCCACAAAATTTTTTCAATCGTAAAAATGGAAGCCATTATAGGGATGACGCGCTGTCAATTAGCTCTCGAAACCCAATAAATTTATCCATATAGCATCATTACGATCCTTATATCTACTAGCTATTTAGCATCGTTTAATGTACTTTTTGGCCCTTAGTCAACTTAAAACTACCGTCTGATTTGCTGTCAGGGGGAATTTTCTAAAGTTCAACAACACCTAAAAAAAATTCTAATTTAATATATCTTTGAAGGGCAGACTAAAAATTTTCAGAGATTGAAGACGGATTACCCTAGATAATACACACAAAAAAATTTAGGTTTTTGGAAGATATGTATTTTTAAGATTCACCTGTAAAGTTTGTCGTCAAGGGTTTTCAGTAAAAATTTATTATTCAAACACCAACTCTTGTAATGACTAATTAGAAAGGTATTTACTTGACCCATATATTTCATTTTTTTAGGACTGTGAGTTTTTAATGTTACTATATCAACCTGTAGCCTAAATATATAAAAATAATAGAATATGAAGCGAGATGATGTGTTAAATATTTTTGCTTTATACGTTTTGAAGACAAAATAGTCAACTCAAACACGCCCAAACGTAAAAAGATGTACTCGACTTTCCCTTTTCCATGAAATTATTCCCCATTTTTAGGATATTTTCCCCCAAAAACTTGTTTATTTTTCTGTGGAATATTTTTCGGCGGAATTTATGTTTATGAACAAAAAAGATCCACATGTATTTACAACTACCACAGTCCACTGAACTATGAAAATTTATCTTTAATTCAAAAGTCAACAAAAACCTCGAAGCTCTATACTACAATTTAAGTAAAAACACGTATATAAGATGCATACAATTCTAAATTATGCACCTACAATAACCTTTTAAAGCTCATAGAAACAGATATAAAAAATTCGAATATACCATCTTGGCCTATTTTACCTTCTCTAATAAAGAGTTCCATTTCTTTTGTTTAATTTAATGAGAAAACAAATGTTACATAAGTTACTCTTCGACTGTTTGGGTACTTATACTTCCCTCGGATTTCAAATGTTTGGCTTTGAGCGTTCCTGATGAAGGTAAATCCAGAAAAGCGCTTCGGACGCCTGAAATTATTAAACGATTTAACGTTGTTTTCAATTTTTTACTATTGTGACGTATAGTTCCATTCAGTTTGCGGCGTATCCATGTTTTCTATACACATGTGGCAGATCCCCAAATTATCGTCAATAAATTTTAAGTTTTAAAAAATGAATGACTCATTCTGTCTTTAAAAGTAATGATCTGGAAGCGAATTTTTTGTTAAATTTAGATTAAATCAATTAGACAGTAAATAACTACACGTTAATGCCAAGTGTTTAATTCCTAACAAAAATGAGAAAAATTAAGATCATCATTTATATATAACAGAGTAAATGACCAAAACCATATTAATTTCTTTCGAATAGCTATACCTTGATAAAGGCTGCACACTCCGGGTGTTCAGCATTATTTTCAGTGTCATTTGTGTTGTCCTCATTATTAGCTGGTCTATCATTTCTATAGGAATACAGACGTTTGTTTGCATCTTTCTGTGTAGAAGTATGGGAAATAAATTCTTCCATGCCAAACTGATGTCCAAAATGAAGAGGACTTTCAACGTATTCCCAAACATCAGAAACATGATCCAGTGCATCAGTTGCCATTGCTTCATTATATGTAAACATTTTGTCTAGAAGAATTTCGGCTCTCTTTGAAAATAGGCTGGAATTCACCAATAGCAAACGTATATAGCAAATAAATTCATTCATACTAAGAAGAGATAAAGGAATAGGGGGAAACTGGAGAACAAGAAATGAAAGCTCAAAGGTTTGACTAAACACAATAAAAGAAAGTAAAGAATGATATTCCATATGTCTCATGGTAGAAAATATGTATAAACATGGGTATACTATGGACAAGCTTACATCAGACAATCATTCATATAATTAGAAATATCGAAATATCAAACTAAAACTCATAAAGCAAATACAGTTGATATTTGTAAAAAATAATAAAATAATTGAGGTATAAATTGCCTTACTAAGAATGGTCTTCTAAGTTGCGTTGAAGTGAATCCTCAAACCAATTTTCTGCAATCTTAGCCATAGCCTTTAGATAGCAACTGGCTATCAAAGCTGTCACTGAAAATTTACAATAAAAGACAATGACAAATTTTAACTCAGTCTTTATGGATATCTTGCAAAATTTTACGTCCTATATTAGAAAAAAACAACCAGCAACACTAATCGAACAGATGGAGAACGATTGCCATATTTCTATATGCCACACAAAGAACACAAGATGGGGTTTACATGTTTGTAAGAATCTAACTTCAACTGGCTATCAAAGCGGTCACTGAAAATTTACAATGAAGGACAATGGCAAATTTGAAATTTTGTATTGATATCTAGCACAAGTTGACATCCTTTATTGGAAGATACAATCAGCAATATATTTGTTATTTTACTTTTTACACTTACAAAACAAACGGAGAACGATTGTCATATTTCTATTTGCCACACAGGATGGTATTTAAAGGTTTCTAAGAATCTTACTTTAGTCATTTTGCTGACAACTTTATAAGAGTGTGTTTAACTTCTAGTCTACAGAAGACCGTAACTTATCTAAGTACATCCGGTCACTATAGTAATTGGCTAGAATGTCAAGTAATCTAGCAGCCGAAAACACCAACACAAAATGTGTATCTCAAGTATAATTATATAATAACACTCTCCAGCAGATATAGTTTGGAATTTTATTGAGTAAATTGTATTTCAAAAAAAATATTTCAAGGTTTGAAAACATTTTAACTTCTCATTCTGCAATGTAGATGATGCCTTTTTTCCAACTGAATAATTACAAATTTGGTGACGGTTAGTGAATTGCGAACTTTTTGTTAATGTAGCAGTGTTCTAACAGTGCCTTTATATAGAATATATATCTCCCAGTTCCTAATATATTACAGGAAAGTGTTTCCTATTTTTTTTGCTAAATGGTTGTTACTGCTTAAAGGAAACTATTAAACGAAGAATTCCATTTACTAACGTTAAAGTTCGTTATTGGAAGAGGCCAAATGTAATTATTTGCGAGATGCAAAGATTAAAGGGGAAAATTCTATTGCTACACCAAATAAAAGCAAAGATTTAATTGTTTGATTAAGAATACAAGTACGAATAATTTCCCATTATGTGAATAATAAATGGATGTTTTCATCATAATATTAACGATACTTACACATTGGATTGTTACATGTTGTCCATAATTCACTAGCAACTGTTTTGTTATTTGACAAGACACAAAATCTAAAACCACTGTCACCTTGTTCATGTTCAAAATTCTGTAGGTCTTCCTTTGACTCTTGTTTTCTCGTTTTCTGACAACAAGTTACCAATCCAACTCTTGTAAAGCAAAGCCCTAATGACAGTAATGCATGCATTCTTAAATTTAGTTTAGAATGTTGTTAGCTTTGTTCATTGTGTGACATATTATTAAAAGGGATACAAAGTTTACGGTTGAACGGGATTTCAGTCAATTGGATAACGACAATGAACATCTTTATACTTAATTGGGTTGCATATGACATTTAAACAATGCCGAGTGTTGATCTTTCAGTGCTGGTATTGCGTGAATTTTTAGAGGAATTTGATAAGGCTGGACATGGACAGTGTCTTTTCATGGCTCAGATAGGTATTTGGTTTCTTTCAGCTTAAGATATCAAACCTAAGATACGTATTGGCCGATAATACACATTCCAAATATATAAAAGCACTTTCCACAATTTAATATTCACTTAATATTCAAACAATTGGTGCTATCTGAATTTATTCAAAGATAAGTTATCTGTTGCTGTTATGCCATCGAAACGTTGGTTCACAATCAAGTATTTAGATATGACGCATGTGGATAATAAAATAATCATCATTAAAGAAGTTAAATAATGCAGGACCGTGACAAATCTGTACAGAAATGAGACTTGAAACCAAAATTACTTGTCTTGCTGTGAAATTTCAAATATCAAGTACTATTTAAACACTTCCCGATCGGAATATACATCTTTCGGTCTATTTTCAAAATAATAAATAGCTTTAATAAACACAACAATGTGCTTGCCCAGTATTCAAATTGTATGAAATGTATGCTAAAGAAAAAACAAGATATGCGTAAGATAAAATCATATGTCGGGCGAAAGTTTTCTCCAAACGTTTTAAAGACTGGCTCAAGATGTCATGTTTAAAAATTTCATATATATCGTTTAGCAGAAATGTATTGCCTGGCAAATGTAAACATAATTGCATTTCAACATAATACAGTTCTTGATCAAGTTTAAAGTTATGACGTTATACAGAAGCTGTGACAAATGAGAAGATGTAGTATGATTTCCATTGAGATAAATCGCCACCAGAGACCAAATGACATAGAACAAGGGCGAAAGATACCAAAGGGACAACTATAGGTCACCGTACGGCCTTCACCAATGAGAAAAACCTATAGGCTATACAAGGTCCGATAATGACAAATGTAAAACAATTCAAACGAGAAAACTAACGGCCTCATTTATATACATAAATTTAAACGAAAAACAAATATGATATACAGCAACAAATGACAACCACTGAATTTCAGGCTCCTGGCTTGGGACAGGCACACACAGAATGTGGCGGGATTAAACATGTTCGCTGGCGCCACACCCTACTCCTAACCTGGGACAGTGGTGTAACAGTACAACAAAAGTGAAGGCTGAAGTGCCAAGGGAACATTCAAAGCTCATATGTCGAGAAAACTTAACAACGCAATTTAAAAAAACGAACGACGACGAAAAGGCAAACACTTTTACATAAAACTACACAACAAATAACAACTGACCAATCCGAACTCCTCCAAAAATGGGGGAGGGCAGTTTTAGGTGATACGGGAATGGACTCAGATCGTGCTTGATGATTATGGTAAGTACAAATTTTGTGATGAGTCTCATTTGATGATGTAACGATCGCGAAAACGGGAGGACTGGATAGTGGTATTACGTAATATCCGTGGTCGTCTGTGAAACAGAAATTCCGTTATGGTCAATTAAATGGCATCCATAAAACTGTCGGATGGATGATTTCAACTTTAACACTTGGAAACCTTGGTTCAAAAGCTGTCGTGGAAGCAGCAATCCTTTATCATGGAAATCATGATGAGAAACGCACGCTCTGCACTATGGTGTCAACTAGAAGATGTATACTTCATATGCAGCAACTGCAAAAATGCTATAACATAGAGGTTTCCTTTATTTCAAGTTTGATGGGATAGATGCGGTTAATATAGTCACAAAACTTTGAACTAGTAAGTAAAAGGACATCACCTATATAGCGGAAAGTGAAGTTAAAAAATAATGCAAGCTCCATTCTATTCTTCTGGGAGTGTTTTATGTAGAAATTGTGATTTATCCAATCATAAAACAAAATATTTGTTTCTACGTTGGTATTTATTCGTATGAAGCAAAGTAGGACGAACTATTGCAATCTGTGTTGCATTGAAAATTACGGATAAATGTATGATTGAACATACGAAAAGACAGACAATTTCGTTCAGTATATCATCCACTTTGAAAATTCACAATAAGTCCTAATATTTCATGTTCAGATATTCAAGATGATGTTTAGATTTTGATTCAGAAGAAAAGTCGCAGACTACCATTCATTTATTATAGACCACAATATTTAAAAAGGGTAACAGAAATTACCATATATACTAGTAAGCTGAACTGACCGGTCATATCACCAACAACCGACCTCTTCGACAAAATATATAAAGTGACAAAGACAACCGAACAACCTATATATAATTTGTTTCCGCCTTATCTGGTACAAGCATAAGATGTAAGTATCTATATTTGTGTGACTGTGTATTTTGTGTGATGTGGGATTTTTAACCCATATGTTTTAAAAGAATGATATGACAGAAGAATACAAATTATAGATCTTGACAGTACTGGTATGCACTTTATCATACGTGTCATAATATATCTTACATTTTAACAAGTGATTTCCTATTTGGAATTCAGCATTTTTTGCTGATTTCGTTTGCACATGTTGGTCTGTCGAAGTGTCCTGTTCGAAGTAGTCAAATGCCTCTGGACTAACATTCTAATAAGAAGAAGAATACAAAGAATAATCAAATCCCTATACAACTTACCTACTGCATATTTTACCAAAAATGACAATGGTCAGGACTATTCTTTCCAAAATAGATATAACGATATAACGACGAAGAAATATGACGTATTTATTGATATTGCAAAAGGTATTTTGTGGACTATAGTTTAAATGTGACTTAATGTTGACTTTTAAATTTGAATTTGCATATTGTATTTCACAGTAATGTTAAATAACGAGCGCACAAAGCCAAATGTCCTCGCCCAATGTCTTAAATACCGTGATTCGGTAGCATTCTTTGTTTTAATTTTACCGCTTAAAGAGTATCTAACAAATACAAACCTTCCATATATCGACTACAGTATGACCTTCGTGCTCATTTTTCTTGTTCATTTGAATTGTCTGAAAAAGAGACGTATTCAAAATAATGCATTGTAAAATATTTATTGCAGATACTGAGTTTGAGTACTCTTTTACTTTAACCTCTGAGTAAATTTTTTACCTATTATACTAATCGTTAGCATTATATACATGTTTTCAATTTTACTTAGGTACGTATTGCAATTTTAAAAGAAAATAACACTGTATACATTTTGTGAGTCTGTAGCGCTTTTATTAATCTACGCTCAGACCTAAAGCTTTGAAAGCCATAGGCGCATAAATAAGTAATATGATCAAAACGGTCTTTAAAAGAATAATCAAATTCATCTAAATTCATATTTGAATGAGAGAGTTGGAACCTTAGCTTTTTAATAAATTCTAAATTATCAACGGTAAAATATTTTATTACAAATCATATTACTACTGAGATGATGATACGTCCGGGGATCAACAATATACCAGCAGTGGTATCGACCCAGTGGTAGTTAATAAAAATACACTTATATAATATAAATTCAGTGCGTCCGAAGCGCTTTTCTTGATTTAGCCTCATCAGGTACGCTTAAATCTAAACATTGGATTGCAATGAATGTATAAATACATAGAAACGTTATAACCTATATGAATTAACATGATTTTGAAGATGAGTTAATTGTTTCTTTTTTGTTTGTTAAATTCGTCGTAGATTTTGGTTCCCAAATGTTTTCTTGATTGTAACAGGACTTTATTATTAAACGTAATTACAAGTATTTAAATATGTTTTACAATTGGTGACTTGCCACGTTGTATAACTTTTAGCTGTATATATATGTAGGACTCTGAACAGCGATGGCACTCCGAACCGCGATGGTCACGCTGATGTGCGCTGGTTAGATCACACTGAAGTGCGATGGTGGCATTGTTACGCTATCTTGTTGATAGCTACGCTGAAGTGCGATGGGTTACATAAAGTATAGTTTTAGTGTTTTTTTCATGTTCACATGTCGATGAAGAAATAAATATGTTTGCTAGAAGCTAGAAGCAGCTTTCTTGTTTATTAAGTAAATCATCGAGAATATTTCCATAATTGTAACGTTGTAGTTTTCTTTGGACAAAAAGAAGTCAACATCCATACAATCGTTTTAGCCGCTACATGCAAAGATTTTCTTTCCATTGCAACCAGTGCTTATTTCAATGACTGAAAATGTGATAGCTGTTTAAAACGCAATATAATAAGTGCCTAATAAACTTATCACCGTATGTGGTCTTTACTTCAACTAGAGAAAATACGGAATGTTTTTGTATAGCCAACATGAATACAAGTAAATAAATTCTTACTACTACCGGTAAAGGGAAATGATTAGTAAACGGGAAATTTAGCCTCTTTGTAGCAGATCCTTTTTTCGAAATTTAAAGCAGTTTTGTTTTTTACGAACGATCGTGCCTGAAAATCTCTAACTACATACGGGTCCGCAGACAGACTCTCCGTCTTAGGATATTACGGTAAACGTAGAACGCATGAGAGCTGAGATTACTATAACACATATAATAATCTTAGATGAGGGGAACAAAGTAAAGATAAACTGTTAACGCAGAATAATGTCCTCGTGCTGCAAACTTAAAGAGAACGAGCTCTCATTTAGTATGAAACTATAACTAAGGACATATATAGACCATCACACTTCAGCGAACAGACCATCATACCTCGGCCAAGACCGTCGCACTTCAACGTGACCATCGCACTTCAGCGTCACCATCGCACCACCAAGTCCTACATATTTATATCCTTTAGAGATAATTGCGTTTTAGTTTACCTCTTTCTATGGGATCTCAACATTTTCTTACCAACTTTTTTGTATTGATAAAATGTTTACTTTTCTATACAAATCTTTTACAAAACTGTCATCAAACTTGATATCTCTGTTCTTCAAATGCCGTATAACATCGGTTGTTTGGTCAATGATTGCTGAAGATACAATCTCTTTAAACTGAAAAATTTGAATGTGATTAAAAACGAATTCCAACATGACTGCCGATTTCCGAAAAAAAAAAAAAATCAGAGGAAGACTTTGAGCACGCAAATTTTCGAAATACTATAATTGTTTTCAATTCTTCTATTACAATTCAAGTTTTAATTATTTGTTGATACTGAATCTTTTCAATCAAAATGACCATTTGGAATTTAAACTTTATATTGAAATTATTGTTTATCTAAACATACGAACCATACGGTAATGCATTTGAAATTGGTATGTAGAGTTACCTGTTCATTGCTTTGATTTGATGAATTTAAACAGTATCCACCGAAAAGTTCTCTTTTAGAGAGCCAATCAATATCGACAACATATTTTGAAATTGAGATGACATCAGGGTCAACTTTTTGAAAAGATGGCACATACAAACTGTAGTCTGCCTCTGAAACATGAATGCAGTTGATTTAGTTTCACGAAGTGAAGTAATCTATTTCGGATCCAAGAGTTGAAACAAAAGTTATTTGAAATGAACTTCGAAGTTTTAATATAGACTTTGTATCGATCTTATGAGTTAAGTCTTTTTCAACTAATTTTTATAGTTTGTTCTTATGTTGTGCTGTTACACCACTGTCCCAGGTTAGGGGAGGGTTGAGCGCTCACAAACATATTTAATCCCACCACATTCTGTATGTGCCTGTCCCAAGTCAGGAGTCTGTAGTTTAGTGGGTGTCGTTGGTTCATGATTGTCATATTTGTTTTTCGTTAATTGTTTTGTTATAAATCAGGCCGTTAGTTTTCTCAATTGAATTGTTTCAATATTTTCATGTCGGGGCCTTTTATAGCCGACTATACGGTATGGGTTTTTCTCATTGTTCAAGGACGTACGGTTGCCTCATCTCCTTATTTTCATATTGTTTAGTATGATCAATATTGTAAATATTTTTTTTCAAACTTAAACATGTTAAACATGTGTGTTTATCGTGTACTATATCATAGTTTATATTGTTATTCATTACCGTTTTAATCATATTCTGTTATGCGTGTATTTTAGCCATTTAGAAAATTCTACATAATAAGCTATGACAATTAGTCTAATCAGATATTTAAAGAAACAGCATTTATTAACAACTTTTTGGCTTTACGCTTGAATCTCTTTAGGTTGATATCAGCTTTTCCAACGTTTGTATTAGGTTTTGAACCTCAAGAATTTTGGCCTCGAGCATCACTGAAGATACATTAATTGTAGAAATGTTCATCTGTTGCAATGAAATTGGAACCATTACTGTTATATTTGCAGGCATGCATATATTGATGATATAGGATACAGTCGCAGAATTACCATAGGAAGGCAAATTTTAAGTCAAAGACAATAAATCTATGGCATAATAGTAAATATATATACCTTGATCATATGACCAAGCTCTGATTATCCCATCTGTTAACCGTTCCCAAAGGCTTTCTGGACTGTCGCATATCAAGTCAAATATTGTGATCTGACAAAAAAAAAAGATGACATGATTGCTTATGAGAAAAGCAAAACAAATTATGATACAAATAAAACATGCACACATATATAAGGTAACATAAATGTTTATCAAATATTTTATTTCATAACTTATAAAATACACTATTTATAACAGGGGCGGATCCAGCCATTTTTAAAAGGGGGTTCCAAACCCAGGATAAAAAGGGGGGGGGGGGGGGGGGGGTTCCAACTATATGTCCCCATTCAAATCCATTGATCGTCAAAAAAAGGAAGATTCCAACCCCCGGAACCCCCCCCCCCCCCCCTGGATCCGCCACTGTATAAGAATGATGATCATGATAATACAAACTAAATAAATATAAATAATAACTTAATTGCAAAACCGTCACAACCTAGACCATATTTCCTGATTTTTAATTCAATTAACATTTGAAATAAAAAAATCAAGATTAATCTATTAAACCAAACAATCTTTTAAACGAAGTCCTGAACTATAACAAATAATCATTTCGTTTTGCGTACGACATTTATGTTTAAAAAAAAAAATCACTGAAACAAAGAACCCAATTGAAAAATAAACAAATATGCAAAACAAAATTAGAAAGATAAATTACCAGCCAATATCTTTTGGCGATGATATTTACAGCTGTTTCCATTCTCGTATATATGTCCTCTGTTATTTTTCTATTAAGCACCACAGGGGAAACTTTTCTGAGGTTTCGTATGCTTAAAGAAAATAAGCATACATGTAGTAGTAAAAATAACAACGGCCTGCTTTTTGTAGTCTACATGCAATACAAATAATGAAAAACAAACTAGATAGACAGTGTTTAAACGACAACGATTGAATAACAAGCTCCTAACTGTATGAAGTGTTTTGTAGACTTGTTTGTCTTTCGTGGATTTTGTTTTTGACCATGGCATTTTCTGTTACTCTTCAACTTATGGGTTTTGAATATTACCTTGATATGGTCCGTCTTTTTCTTTGATGTTGATACGACAGTTTTCTGTAAATTCACTGTTCATCAAACATGTTATATGTGAAACTCATGTTAATCTAAGATTTTCTACCCACAGCCATTTTTGGAAAACACTTTGGATCATTTAGGTTTTCAATGATCTTCAACTTCGTTTTTCAATTTGCTTTCCTATTCATACTAAAAGCGCGAATGAAAATATAAAAATGAGTGAAGATTTTTACTTTTAGTATCTATCAGATCTTTTAATTTTCATTTAACAGTACATATTTATTCTTACTCTTCAATACACATTGCAAGTAAGTCCGATACACCACCTGACCCTTTTGTTACCACTACTGAAATATCACACTGCACTGCCCTAGCAACATGTGACAGTGTTTCTAAATCCCCGTTAACAACAACCAACACAACTGGCACTCTAACTGTGAAAAGGAAATAATATCATTATGAGCAACTGTACCGAAAGCAAATTATTGAAAGTATAAACTTTTAAAAGGTAACGGATACTTAAGGATATCCAACAAATCCTTGGTGCGCAAATTTGTTAGTTTTATTAATAGATTCGATTCCTGGGATTTGGAGGATGGGGTAGGATGATGTTGTGCAGACGGAATATTCACTTTGACCAGTTCCTAGGCCAGCTTTTTTATTATTGATTTTATATACATTTAAATCCTGTAAGAATATTCCTTTTTATTCGGTCTTGACAATTTCATTTTTTCCTCAGTTCTTTGCTGATTTAATATTCATTTTCACCATCCCTCGTCCATTCCCACCAGAAAATCATGTGATCGCCCCTTAACAGTCATTTTGATACTGAAGTTTAAATTTATAAATTATGTAATTTATATTTATAAATCGCATTATGAATTCGATGATCAGTTTTCGACAAATGCTTCTTCTTTTGTGTCAGGTTGAAATCCTAATTGCAACCTGTGTTTTTACATCTATTCATTTATTTATAATGTAGTTAATATCGTTGGCAATAACATGTATGCACCCGATAATATTTTGGTTGTTTAAGTTTAAAGTAAAAACATTGTATGATGTTTTACAAACAAAAACAAATCAGAATGATCTATATATAAGTAAAAATAAACGGTCGAATTAAAACATATATTGTTTACCTTTATTGTCAGTTTCATCCCCAAACTTAACAAAAAGAGATTTATTAATATAACTTTCTAATTCTAGACGTTTTATATTATAATCACGAGTATTAGTCTCCTGAACCATTTCTTCCTCATCTTCCTCGGATGGTAAAATCTGTATAATGCATGAAAATATTATTCAATGTAAACCAACGATAGCACATACTATACTGTGTGTTAAAACAAACGCCCAGAAAATTCCGAGATTTTTCTGAAATTCAAAATTCGATATTCTGGATTCAATAGTGATGGCACATCTTTTGTTTAACATCCTTTTCTTGCGCTTATTTTTTTCTATTATCTTTATACTTTCAGTTTTGATACATATACTTTTCTTTATACAGTTGACAATGTCGGTTTCAACGCAGGTTGAAGGTATCCGTATTATTTCGTCGGCATTCGTTTATTACGGCGTTAACATCGACAACAATAATCCCGGAAGAAACCCTTTACTCTAAAAAATATGATGAACTAATACATATTTTGAAATATTTTAGGCCTTACTTAAAATTACTTTTTGTTTGCCCTAACAACATGAACAAGGCACAACTGAAAAGCTCTCTTCTTGGCAATAAAATTGAAGTACTGAATTTCGGTACTGATAATAAATTTCGGAGGAAGCTAGAAAACATTATATCAAAGTTCAGATAACTAAATGAATGTAATTATTGTTTTCTCGTCTTTCACTTCGATTGTCAGTTGGCTTTGGCAATACTCTTCGGTTTATCCATAAATAGCCTCGATCATCCTTGAAGAGACAATAAAAGGCTGGAAATTGCTCTTCGATAAACTGAGTGAAAGCAAAGCAAGGGGAAATATTGAGCAATTTGACAGAGTAAAACTAAATTGAATAACACAAAATCAGTTGCAACAGAGTTCCAATATAATGACATAGTTACGTACGTAGCTCGACGTACGGACCTTATAGGACTGGTTATTGCCAACCATTGAATTTTAATAAATACGTCGCTCAAGTTTAAACGAAGTATTCCAAGACTTTAAAATCATACACACAACTTTTTCGTCCATATTAAACTATTTAAAAAATGATTTAAAGTGATGGAAATCATGCATTTTTATTTATCACGTGGTATTCCAGATTACCGCCTTAATTTTCACTGACATAAGATCACGTATAAAAAAAAACACGTATTCCTTACATATCAAACAGTCGATGTGAGTTATCTTTCGTGGTTTTGATTGTGACAATTATTTTTCAATATACTCTGCAAATGAACGCTGCATTATTATATATTTGACATGCTTATTTTTTTCGTAGTCCGATATTATTTCTTTCTTTCTCTATCTATCTACCTGTTTATTTGTATTTTTGTGGGGAAAACATTTTTAGACAGATGTTATTTTCTGACGATTTCAAAATTGTCAAAGTCAGTGTTTGTCAGAATATCGCTTCATTTAACTTCTAAATAAAGCTATTTTCTTTTTTATTATAAAATGTAAAGATAAACCAATTCCCTAGATAGATTTTATTTTAAAAGGTGTGCTCAATTAAGGATTGTTTTGTGTTGTTTTTGTTAAACGGAAATGCTATATGAGTCCAAATAGAAAAGTCTTTTCCAGGCAAACTATTTTTTATATCCCTTGAAGTATATTAACTTATAGTATTTTAACCATTTCATCGATAAACAGTTTGTAGGGGTCACCGAATTTATTTTACTGCATACATCATTGTAGTGAATGTGTTAGGTAAGAACCAAACAAAAACATAAGATATAAGATTTTGATGCCAGATGCGGATCCAGGATTTTGAAAAAGGGGGCCATAAACTAGGCAACGTTAGGAGTAATACATTTTAAATCCGCCTTTGGATGCGCTATGCAGTTAAGTCGGCACACTATTCTTTTTTCTTGTCGATGTTTCATTCTCAATCCAGTGCAGAAGATCATGATTTTGCGCAACGCTAAAATAAAGTATCAACAAGATGCAGGACAATATATAAATGTATACGTGTTTGTTTGAATATGCATATTCAGGACGAGATGAGGAATATGAACCCGACTTTATACTAGACCGATACGCTGATCCAAATTTTTAACCAGGTAGTTCACACGGTCCGCAAGAAAACATGTCACCCTACCTGGATCAACTATTCTGACTACGAACCAACCAGTCTTTGCGCTTACTCATAAATATCGCAAGCATGGCAGAGAGCCAATCTTTTATTTTAACCGGACTATAGAATCGAACCAAAGACTGCCCGCACTCGCGCAGCGGCGTATCTTCCATAGAGCCAATGAGGTCTCACCAATTTTTTGACCATGCATTTAAAAAAGAGAGATGAAGAGAAGTTACATTCAGTGTATTTCATAGTATAGAGTGACGACGGTTCAAAACGCTGACTTCATTACCCTTCACACACTCATTCCTCATGATTAACTTAACGGGGTTATATTTCAAAGAGACAGCAACCCGACCAAAAAGCAGAAAACAGCCCAAGGCAACCAATGGGTCTTTAACTCAGCCAGAAAATCCCGTACACAGAGGCGGGCTTCGGTTGGTTCCTAAACAATAATGAAACAAGTTCAACGAAACGGATGACACACTTAACTCCGAAACATACAAATGATTCAAAATTAAAAAAAAAAAAACCAAACAAACAAGACTTACTATGGCTAGAGGTTCTGATTTGGAACAAGCGTAAAAATGCGATGGGGTTAAACATGTTAAATGCATTTCAGAGGAGGTCATAAATATAATTCTGTCAGTTATTTTTGTTTCGATCAGGACCTGTCTTTGATAAAGTACTGTATGAATTTAATGCGCACTGAAAAATGTTATCATTTCATGATAAAATTTCACAATCTGGATTTTTTATAAAAGAGGGACGAAAGATACCAGAGGGACAGTCAATCTCATAGATCGAAAACAAACTGACAACGCCATGGCCAAAAATATAAAGACAAACAGACAAATAATAGTACAGATGACACAACATAGAAAACTAAAGACTAAGCAACGCGAACCCCACCAAAAACTGGGGGTGATCTCAGGTGCTCCGGAAGGGTAAGCAGATCCTGCTCCACATGTGACACCCGTCGTGTTGCTTATGTTATTACAAATCCGGTAAATAGTCTAATTCGGTAAGTCACATTCGTGCAAAGGGAAGGGTATTGTAGTTACGACATAAGGAACATATTCGATATCATCTGTGAAACGGTTATTCCATAACGGTCAACCAACTCGTGATGGCGTCCGTAAAATTTACGAAGGGATGATCTCAACTTCACCATTTAGAACTCTTGGCTTAATAGCTTCCTTGTGAGCAGCAATCCTCTATCAAGGAAATCATGATAGGAAACACAAGCCCGGGAATATCGTATTCGTATTATAAGATGCTCGTTGTGCCAGTGTGTGACCAATCAAGAGTATGGTTACTTAAACTCTCCCCCCCCCCCCCACCCTTGAAGTAGGTGGTTTGTTAAAAGTCGAAGGATGTACCAGTATGTACTGTATACAAGACCCTATTCAACAGTATAACCTATGCTTAAAGGGGTTGTCTGTTTGGTTGTCTGGGATGTATAAATACACAGGCACGTCCAGTCGGAATTGGGACATTCAATCAAATGTAGGGAAAGTGCAATCATTTATTTAGTTCTATATGTAACAGAACAGATTAAATAAAAGAGGGCTACTGAGGGGGCTTGTTGCAAGACAAAATGTCTACTCCTGTCTAACCCTCCTTTTCCAGTTGCAGTTGACATTCATGCTGTTATCCTGGTCTACCCATTAATCTAAAAGGATCATCCTACTTAACAAAAACTGCAATCGAATATTCCAAACATATTTGTTTTTTATATATACGTATTTGTACAGGTTAAATGCCAAACATTTCATAGAATTTATTTGTGAGCAAAAACTTTAAACTACGCATACATTTGTACAGACTCTTCCTAGAACCCATGCATCATTATAATTAAAGATAAGAAGTAAAAATATAACGATTTAGTAAATAGTAATGGTTTTTGTCTTGAAGATGCATACTCATACTTTCTACTTGATTAAATTCTACGGAAAGATGACAAAGTTTTATCAAAAAGATGCATCAGTGATCTGAATTTCTGCCTATGAAAAGGTATCTTGAAATATTTTATAGAAGTATGCTTAAAAAAGAGTAAGTCGTGTACACCTTTTACATACCGGCGTGTTTGAAACTCCTGTTTTAACCCTATTACTCATAAATCAAAAACGAGAATATCATCTTGCTTCAGATTTTATTATATTTATTTTTTCAAACTTAATTTTGATTCAATAGTTTTTAAGAATTCATACCTTGAGAAATAAATATATGGGTCAAGAGAAATGACCTAGTAATGGTCGGTGCATTTGATTACCGGTAAGTATTAGATACAATACAAAGGTAACAAAGAAACAGGCCGGTAACAACCGTTGCCGGATAGTTTTTCTGCACGAGTAGTCAGGTTAAGGCCTTGACCTGACTACAAGTGCAGAAAAACTATACGACAAGTTGTTTCCGGCCTGTTTTTTGTTACCTTTGTTTTGTATCTGACTTGTACGACGTTTCAAGAAAGAAGTAGTACATTTTGCATTTGGAAGAGGTAGCAAAAAAAACATATTAGAAACTTAAATGGTCATATGCCAGTTAATGAAAGTTACAGTTTTAACACATTTTTTTTTCACTTCCCTTCAGCCGAGAAAAAATTCAAGAATCTAATAACTTTATGAAAAGAACCATTCCAAGTAAAAGGTGAATGTCGTACACATTTGAGACTTTTTAAAATGCAACTTTGCAAGTAAGTAATGTATAAAAAAGATTTCAGAGGTAAGCAAGCTACCATGTGATTTTTATTGGGGAAAAACGGAAAAAGGGGGGGGGGGGGGGGTTAAAATAAATTTAAGATAAACATGCTTGATCCTTTTTTGGTTGAACAAATGCAGGATGTGCCATTCCATACCCACAATTCCCCCTTAAATAAAATCGTAAAAATCGTACGTTTGCCGCCAAATAAACGAATTCAATATATATGTGAGTTCAATAAAAATATAAATGTAGCAAAATAATGAATTTACTATTCCATTAGTGAATGAAATGATATGGAAAAAATGGATTTTGTCTTTTTATTTGATATATATAGGCATATATTTTGGATTTGTTTTCTAAGTTCAGGTTTTTATATGTCTCTGATAGTGTTGATCAGGAGCAAACACGTGTCACTATATGCTCCAATCGCAGCTTACCGTCCAAAATTGATGACATAAGTTGAATGATTTTCTTCAAGATTTGCTACATATTTGAACATGCATTATGTTACACGGACATTTTTTATCTATAGGATCAATCGTGCATTGGTGAGTTGATAGGGATTTTACCTTTTGATTAGATTTGATTTTTTTTATATATATTTCTTGTCTTTTTTATTGATATATAAACGTCGGTACCAGCTTTTCTTTACCTTCAGCAATGTTCAGAATACTATTTATGTCCATATATTGAAAAAAAAAATACATTTACGGACCGACCATTTACGATTTAGCTTCAAAAAGATGTTATGTTCTTTTCTTAGTAAGACAATTATTTAGTTTTTTTCAACGCTATCACACAATTCTTTTTTTCGAAATTAGCACTATTATATACGGTATTCGAAAAATCAGGAATCAGAACATAATTTTGTCATCTGCTTGACCACATTATGTTTTTTTCTCATAAAATTGGGGATCAAAATATTTTTTAGGAAAAAACCATAACCCCTCTTTTGAAGTTAAATGGTCAATCCCTTAGTGTACTGATATGAATAGTCATTTACTGGAATTGTTTGGAAAAAAATATTTATTGATGCTAAAGTAAATATTTTAATCAAAAAGACAGGAAATATTTCGGTGAAACAAAAAGTTCAAATCTAATTGAAATTTAAAGTGCCCATGAACTCACTGATCATGCACGGGTGATTCTATTCATAAAAAGAGTCCGGTAACACTTAAAAAGTGTCCGTGTATCATCTAAAAAGAGTCCGTGTAACACCCGTTGTACGACTTTGCCCCCCGCAGAGCTATAGAAAAACAGTACATTAACGGATGTTACACGGACTCTTTTTAGATGATACACGGACTCTTTTTAGTTGTTACACGGACACTTTTTATGAATAGATTCACTCGTGCATGATCAGTGAGTTCATGGGCACTTTAACTTTCAATTAGATTTGAACTTTTTGGTTCACCGACATATTTCCTGTCTTTTTATTAAACAAAATATTTACGTTAGCATCAATATCTTTTTTCAAACATTTTCAGTAAAATACTATTCATATCAGTACACTAAGGGATAAGACATTTAACTTCAAAAAGGGGGGTATGGTTTTCTCCTTAAAAAAGATATTTTGATCCCAAATTTTATGAGAAAAAATTTACTATGGTCAAGCAGATGACAAATTAATGTTCTGCATGATTCCTGATTTTCCGAATACCGTATAGTGCTAATTTAAACAAAAATATTTGGGTGATGGCGTTGAAAAGTAAATAGTTAATATACTCAGAAAAGAACATACCGCCCCATTTATGAAGCAAAATAATCGGTCAATAAATGTTTTCTTCGTTATATGGACATGAATAGTATTTTGGACAATGCTGAAAGTAAAGAAATGATGATACCGACGTTCATATTTCAATAAAAAAAGACAGGAAATAAGTAAATAAAAATCAAATCTTATCAAAAGATAAAATCCCTATCAACTCACCAATGCACGATTGATCCTATAAAAAAAGGTGTTCGTGTAATACACGTCCAAATAAGCAGCAAATCTAGAAGAAAATCATTCAACTTATGTCATCAATTTTGGACGGTAAGCTGCGATTATACCATATAGTAACACGTGTTTAATCCCGATCAAGACTTGCAGATCTAGAGACGAGCATGAATTTAAAAAAAAATCAAAGTATATGCCTGAATATATATAATATTAAAACAAAATCCATTTTTTCATAACATTTCATTCACTAATGAAGTAGGAAATTCATTCTTTTGATACATTTATATTGTTATTGAATTTATATATACATATATATCAGTTGCGGATCCAGCCATTTTAAAAAAGGGGGTTCCCAATCCAGGACAAAACAGGGGGGGGGGTCCAACTATATGTCCCTATTTAAATGTATTGATCGTTCAAAAAAAAGGTGTTACAACCCCCGGGACCCCCACCACTGAATATTGAATTCATGTATTTGGCAACAAACGTGCGATTTTTACGATTTTTTAAAAGTGGGAATGGGGGGATGGAGTGGCACATTCTGCATTTTTTCATCAAAATAAAGATCACAGCCTGTTTATTTTAAATTAAATTAGGCCCCCCTCCCCGCTTTCCGTTTCATCCATAAAAATCAAACGTTAGCTTACTTACCACTAAAATATTTCTTTAATATATTACTTTTTTACGAAGTTGCATTTTAAAAAGTCTTAAATGTGTACAACATTCATCTTTTACTTGATATGGTTCTTTTTTATCAAATTATAAGATTCCTGATTTTGTTCTTGAAAAAAACTCTCGGTTGAAGGGAAATGAAAAAAAAAAGTGTGTTTATACTATAACTTACATTTACTGCTTTATGGCTATCTAAGTTTCTCAAATGTTTAGTCTTGCAAAATGTATTATTAATTTACTTTCTTGAAACGTCGTACAAGTCAGATACAAAACAAAAGTAACAAAAAAATAGGCCGGAAACAACCTGCCGTATAGTTTTTCTGCACTTGTAGTCAGGTCAAGGTCCTCGGCTATCGCCTCGGACCTTGACCTGACTACTCGTGCAGAAAAACTATCCGGCAACGGTTGTTACCGGCCTGTTTCTTTGTTACCTTTGTATTGTATCTAATACTTAAAGTTCTGTTTTTCTATACCTCTGCTGGGGGCAAAGTCGTACAACTGGATTAAGTGTTCCCTTAAAATGTTGTTGTTAATAAAATCACCCAGAATTTAATAACAAAATATGTAGAGATTTAAAATAGCAGATTTGATCAACTTTTGAATACTATTTATTCTAACAAAGTAGGTGTATTCAACAAACCAAATATTCATGCAGTCTATGCTCCCCTCCGTCATGCTTCAATGCAATAGGCCGAGATACGTTCAGATAGGTTGGTTATGTCGAGTAATGTTATTGTATTTGAAATCTCTATTAAGACTTAAGGATCAATGATCTGTTATGTTGGGGGGAAAAAACGTTTGAAAGAAAATAAAGAATGAAATGAAAAACTAACATGCAGATTTTATAAACAATTATTGTCATTGGAAAGTTCAAAACTGGTCGAGGATTACATTCTCTCTCTTTCTGAAGGCATTGGTTAACGTTGTTATACGTTATTTTTGCCATCAATTGCAAATGATAATTATAAGAAAGGTTTCAACATTGATAGTAAAAAAAAAAAAAACCAATAGAAAACGTTGAATGGAAATGATATGAAGACAACGTGTAAATTTTAGAACTCTAAACTTTGAACTTTTCAACTTTTCATATTACCTTCATATCAGTTTCAAAATACTGATACACTGTTTCAGGGATACCTTTCAGTACAAAACTGTTGATATCTTCAATTTTCCGCATCCATTTCATTTTTCCTTGATGATAGAGAAATCCACATCCAGTAATAAATTTATTTCATCAGCAATCAAAGCCGGGCTTGAGAGTAACCACCACTCTAGTGGCGGTATGAATCATATGTGGTAATAAAATAAACCTCAAAAGGTCTCTCAAAAAGAGAGGCGACGGATACCAAAGGGACATTTAATTCAAGTCTGTCAGAGTACATTCATACAATATAAGTCTATTTCCTATTGTAATAGTATACAAACATCTGACGTCTCTACGATTTACACTTGCACCTCATTCCAATGCTTAAAGACAGATTTAAAGAACTAGTCCAACTAGATTGTCTATCGCAAATAAACTTATCTTGTCTTAGGAAGAGATACATCATACTTTGTACAAAAACAAACCACTCTGATTTCAATAAACAATTCTCTGAAACTGGCATTATCAAGATGCTTGATTTTTTTTTACTGGCAACATATTTATTACGTTCAGAGAACGTCTGTTTAAAAAAAATGAATTGGGGACTAATGAAGCTCCGCTTCTTACCAACTTGTTCCTTTATTCATATGAGACAGACTTCACACAGGAGCTTCTCAGGAAGACCGAAAAGAAGCTATCATTATCCTTTACATTCAAGTTCCGCTGTGTACTAGTTGATGATGAACTCTCACTAAATAATCCAAAGTTTCCTGATAATGTCAAACGAATCTATTCAATCGAATTTGAAATGATACCAAATAGTTAAATCTGCTTCATAGCTAGACATCCGTCAAAAAATTTACAATGAGGGTCGGTTGAGACAAAAAGGAGGATTTCAGCTTCCCAACTGTAAACTTTCGATTCTATGTGGCGACATTCCAGCAGCGCCTGTATATGGAGTATATGTCTCCCAGTTGATATGATACTCCATGGCTTTCGTTTCCTGTCATGAATTCCTTACTAGATTGTTCTGCTTTCAAGGAAGCTATCGAATCAAGGGTTCCAAGTGGTGAGGTTGAATTCATCTCTTCGAAAGCTTAACAGCCGCCATCATGATTTGGTCGACCGTTATGGATTATCTGTGTCACAGATACTACATGTATGTTTCAATTGTCGTAAGCATAATCAGGCCTCTCTACCTCGATTGTGACATCTCCGAATGAGACTTATCACCGGACCTGTACTCGCAAGACCAAACGACGGAAGTCACAAGTGGAGATGGAACAGTTTACCCTTCCGGAGCATCTGTGTTCACTCAAGGTTTATGATGATAATGTTTGCGGAGTGTTCGGCTTTTCTTCTTTTTTCGTGTTTTTCCATGTCGTTGTCAGTTTTTCAAATACTAAATAGTTTTGAATGTTTCTTTTTTATATATAAAATTCATCTTTGACATCCCATGTATTGGTAACGAACTGCAGCTGTTTTGTTATATTTTAATCACATAAACGGAAACATGAAAATGAAAACCAGAAGTATTATTCTAAGTCGAAAACAAACTTCTGCAGCTGTCATCTAAATCTTCATAAATCATCAGAACATTAAAATTAAAAAAAGATAAAATCGAAGTAAGACAGATCATCGTTAACTGTTGTGAAACACGCAAATCTACGGAGCCCTGTTGGTCTCACACAGATTATAAAGTGTCTTTTAAAGTCCTGCGCTGAAGATGTGTAAAGTCTAGCGCTGGAGATGTAAAGTCTAGCGCTAGAGATGTAAAGTCTAGCGCTGGAGATGTAAAGTCCAGCGCTGAAGATGTAAAGTCTAGCGCTGGAGATGTAAAGTCCAGCGCTGGAGATCTAAAGTCTAGCGCTGGAGATGTTAAGTCAAGCGCTGAAGATGTAAAGTCTAGCGCTGGGGATGTAAAGTCTAGCGCTGGAGATGTAAAGTCCAGCGCTGGAGATCTAAAGTCTAGCGCTGGAGATGTAAAGTCAAGCGCTGAAGATGTAAAGTCTAGCGCTGGGGATGTAAAGTCTAGCGCTGGAGATGTGTAAAATCTAGCGCCGGAGATATGCAAAGTCTAGCGCTGGAGATGTAAAGTCAAGCGCTGGAGATGTAAAGTCAAGCGCTGAAGATGTAAAGTCTAGCGCTGAAGATGTAAAATCAAGCGCTGGAGATGTAAAGTCAAGCGCTGAAGATGTAAAGTCAAGCGCTGAAGATGTAAAGTCTAGCGCTGGAGATGTAAAGTCAAGCGCTGGAAATGTAAAGTCCAGCGCTGGAGATGTAAAGTCAAGCGCTGGAGATGTAAAGTCTAGCGCTGTAGATGTTAAATCAATCGAATTATACGAATTCCAAACAAAAAGAAATTAGAAAATTCAGCAAAGAGTCAGAAACTCACTAAAATAAGTAAGAAAATACCAAATCGAGAATAAAAAAATTTATAGACAGAAGAAGAAATAGAGCACACTATGACCAGCAAACAACCATTAGATAGCTGATAGTGGGGGCATAAAGAATCCTCAGATAGCTGATAGTGAGCATAAAGAACCCTTAGATAGCTGATAGTGGGCATAAAGAACCCTCAGATAGCTGATAGTGGGCATAAAGAACCCTCAGATAGCTGATAGTGGGAATAACGAACCCCTTGATAGCTAAAAGTGAGCATAACGAACCCTCAGATAGCTGATAGTGGGCATAACGAACCCCTAGATAGCTGATAGTGGGCATAAGGAACCCTTAGCTAGCTGAAAATGGGCATAAAGAACCCTTACATAGCTGATAGTGAACATAAAGAACCCTTAGATAACTGATAGTGGGCATAAAGAACCCTTAGATAGTTGATAGTGGGCATTACGCAGCAAAGAACAAAACACCCTCAGATAGCTGATAGTGGGCATAACGAACCCTCAGATTGCTGATAGTGGGCATAAAGAACCCTCAGATAACTGATAGTGGGAATAACGAACCCCTAGATAGCTAAAAGTGGGCATAACGAACCCTCAGATAGCTGATAGTGGGCATAGCGAACCCCTAGATAGCTAATATTGGGCATAAGGAACCCTTAGCTAGCTGAAAATGGACATAAAGAACCCTCAGATAGCTGATAGTGGGCATAACGAACCCTTAGATAGCTGATAGTTGACATAATGAACCTTTAGAAAGCTGCATTCTGGTACAGGATTGTGTGAATGTTCGCCAACGTCGCCAACGTCGCCAACATTTACAAAATCATTACTGTTCGCCAACGTCGCCAACGTCGCCAACATTTACGAAATCATTACTCTTCGCCAACGTCGCCAACATTTACGAAATCATTACTGTTCGCCAACGTCGCCAACCTTTATGAAATCAATACTGTTCGCCAACGTCGCCAACATCGCCAACCTTTATTCTATTCTATTCACTATCAGCTATCTAATGGTTCGTTATGCCCACTATCAGCTATCTATGGGTTTTTTATGTCCACTATCAGCTATCTAAGGGTTCTTTATGCCCATTTTCAGCTAGCTAAGGGTTCCTTATGCCCAATATTAGCTATCTAGGGGTTCGCTATGCCCACTATCAGCTATCTGAGGGTTCGTTATGCCCACTTTTAGCTATCTAGGGGTTCGTTATTCCCACTATCAGTTATCTGAGGGTTCGTTATTCCAACTATCAGCTATATAAGGGTTCTTTATGCCCACTATCAGCTATCTAAGGGTTCTTTATGCCCACTATCAGCAATCTGAGGGTTCGCTTTGCCCACAAACAGCTATCTGAGGGTTCTTTATGCCCCACTATCAGCTATCTAATGGTTGTTTGCTGGTCATAGTGTGCTTCATTTCTTCTTCCGTCTATAATTTTTTTTATTCTCGTTTTGGTATTTTCTTACTTATTTTAGTGAGTTTCTGACTCTTTGCTGAATTTTCTAATTTCTTTTTGTTTGGAATTCGTATAATTCGATTGATTTTACATCTCCAGCTCTAGACTTTACATCTCCAGTGCTTGACTTTACATCTCCAGCGCTGGACTTTACATTTCCAGCGCTTGACTTTACATCTCCAGCGCTAGACTTTACATCTTCAGCGCTTGACTTTACATCTTCAGCGCTTGACTTTACATCTCCAGCGCTTGATTTTACATCTTCAGCGCTAGACTTTACATCTCTAGCGCTTGATTTTACATCTCCAGCGCTTGACTTTACATCTCCAGCGCTAGACTTTGCATATCTCCAGCGCTAAATTTTACACATCTCCAGCGCTAGACTTTACATCCCCAGCGCTAGACTTTACATCTTCAGCGCTTGACTTTACATCTCCAGCGCTAGACTTTAGATCTCCAGCGCTGGACTTTACATCTCCAGCGCTAGACTTTACATCTTCAGCGCTGGACTTTACATCTCCAGCGCTAGACTTTACATCTCTAGCGCTAGACTTTACATCTCCAGCGCTAGACTTTACACATCTTCAGCGCAGGACTTTAAAAGACACTTTATAATCTGTGTGAGACCAACAGGGCTCCGTAGTATCCTGTTGGATATATAGTCTTTTTCATTTATTTAGACAGTTCGATTTTCCGAACATTTTGCTGAGGCGTTTCAAAACTATTAACTGCTTACAAAAGTTTTGCAATTTAAACATAGATATTTTCGTTGGCTGCTATTTTTGCGATCTCAATACTTTTCTCTCGCAGGGGCTTAATTCGTGCATCAAACGATTATATAACCGTTCATATAAAAAAGTTTACTTTCTACAACTATTCATCCGAGGTATATTTTCGCACATTTTACATGATCGGGAAATTAGCGAAAATAGCCCCTGCGCAGAAATTTCAAAGTGTTTGACATACTAGTATTGAAACACAAAACTTGCCACTTTGAACAAATATGTAGTTCCATATGAATAACTGGAGATATTGCTTTTCGCCAATCAAAAAGCAACCAAACGACAACACTTTAAGTTATGAATTTTATAATGTGCTCTTACAAGTGAGAAAAAAAAACATCTACTTAACGAGAAAAAATAAAGATATCATGTATACAATAATGAGACATCAAACCTAACGACAAATTATAACATTAAGAGGTAAACATTGTGTATTTAACAAAAGGCGATTGTATTCTCAATACATGTACATACATTGTAGTTGACATTTATTAAATACAGTAGATATTAACTAAATACATACTTCCAGCTCGTATACTGATATTCTTGAATGAATTCACTAAAATTGCTTTGTTCTTTTTACTATAACCATGCACAAGTTTGTTGTATTCACCAATAACAGACATTATAATTCGTGGTTCGCCTTTTATAGCATCTAACGATATTGAAGGTGTAACTAACTTATCCACTGTTGGTGGGTCGATGACCTTGTTAAAGAAAAGGAGAACCTATATTACAAAATTTATTGAGATTTAGATAATAATATTTGTTATGAACGTAGAACATTACATTATTGAGTTATGTTGTTTGCAGGTATTATTATACAGTTCACTGGATTTGTTTGGGGATTTTTTCCAATAATAGTTCATACATAGAATAACTTCTTACTCTTTAATAAAACTTAATAAATGCATGTCAATGAAAATCTTACTAAGCAGCCTAATTATGAAAATTTACCGGCTCTTGATTTTCCTTTTGCTGAACATTTGCAAAATCATCCACTAAGGTAGCAACTGGGTCTACATCCGTTCTACTGTATAAAGGACTGATATCTAAGGACTGGAGCTCTGATGTTACAGAAAAACTTGTAGCAGTATCACCACTTTCTGATGATCCATCACTTTCACTACTTACAGTGTCGGAGATAAAAGTCTAGAATTAGAAAGAAAAAAAACAGATAGACAGACAGATAGACAATAGTAAATTAATAAATTGTCATTTTTAGTTTATGTTCTACATGACAAAGTTATATAACCTTATTTTATCAGCACTGACAGCGGAAAAAAAACGTTTATGTTCCTCCAAAATTATTTCGAAAGTTCGCAAAATAGATGTTCAAGCAACGCTTAAAAGAGTAAGAATATAAAATGGGAACCATTCAAATCGTATGTCGAAAAGGGACACATTATGCATTGACAAAAACAAAAAGATAAACAAAAAACAAAAAACAACACGTCATGAAAACACTACATGTAAAACAAACTGATTGATTAAGTAAAACGAACGGAGGCCTATAGTTACTTACATCTCCGTCATTTGGTCTCTGGTGGATAGTTATCTCATTGGTTATCAAACTACATGTTCTTTTTTATACCAACTAGTGCGGTAATGAACTTTCTAGTGTCTCCCGTTGATTCGTATGATTTTTTTTACGTGACTCGGCATTTATGCATTCCGCCATCAGGTTTTTTGACTTCTTAACTTTGGTCATTCCTGGTGCAGGTGGGTCCTGAGGTGCTATTCGGACCCAAAGGAGTTTTACAGTATTGTTTCTAATTTGTTTACCCTTGTATTTATATTGACTTAATTTTTACTTTATCGAGAAAGTGTTTACTGTATACGGTAGGTACTATCAACGACAAAAACTTTTTTGTTGACGTCATTATCAACGTCAAATTTGCTATCTACTACACCTTTTTTGTTTGCGTCTTTATTAGATTATTGTGTATTTAAAAAAAAAGAAGATGTGGCATAATTGCTAATGAGACAACTCTCCACCAGAGACCAAATGACATAGAAGTTAACAGCTATTGGTCACCGTACGGTCTTCAACAATGAGCAACACCCATACCTCATAGTCAACGTTAAAAGGCCCCGAAATGACAATTGTAAAAGAATTCAAGCGAGAAAACTAACGGCCTGATATATGTACAAAACAATGAACGAAAAACAAATATGATATACAGCATCAAACGACAACCACTAAATTAAAGGCTCCTAACTTGGGACAGGCACATACAGAATGTGGCGGGTTAAACTAGTTTGAAGGCGCCAACCCTCCCTCTAACCTTGGACAGAGGTGTAACGGAAAAATATAAGAACAAACTATAAAAATCAGTTGAAAAGGGCTTAACTCATCGATACAAAGGAGAAATACATGGCAGGTACTTATACATCCCCGCAACAACATAAAAAAAAGACACTAAATACAGGTCTGAGAGTACTCGCAGGTACTGACAGCTAGTTCAAAGCCAATAACGACTAATAAAAAATCATTGAACTAAGACTAAAATATCAATCAGTACACATCCAACATCCAATGGATAATATTTGTTTTAATTTGTTTGTCAGTTGTGTTGTATGTCTGTGATGTATGTTTACAGTTTTACACATTTTTGGCTGTTGGATCACAATTATTATCACATTACCCTATTATATCTGGGTTGCTCATCCAATTGTGTCAGTATAACGGAATTATAAACAACTGCCCTACGAGTGGGATGCTTAGCTAGCTATAATACCAGGTGTAACCCACTATTTTCTACGGAAAAAGCCTGTACTAAGTCAGACATATGGCAGATGTTTTTTTTTTTAGCTTTTTTCGTTGATTGATAGCGTTTGATTTTTTCAGTTTTTACTGACTTCCTCTTTTTGAATTTGCCGGTATTTCTGTTATACCGTTTTAGTTATTCAAGACATTGAAAAAACGAGTCGTAGAGATGATAGTTATCAACACAGGAAAGAGTATTGGAATGATATCACAGCTCCCTGAATATCTTCGTTGTCATCTGTTACATGTGTAAGACAAATTTAATTGTCTTTCAAGTTATAATGTCTTTAGTAAATATTTCGAAGATACGACTTTAACATTAAAGATTAATAACCCTTGTTCAAGAATAATAAAGTAGCCATCAGCCTGCAACAAAGTATAATCTGAATAGGATAATTCATACAAGTCTTGAACTATCGTTACTTCTTGGAATTATATATTCCATACGTAAGTGCTGTTAAAATCAAAAGATCATAATTGTAAAACTGAAATCATCTTCCTTGTCCTGAAGTCAAGTTCTCTGTCGACATTCAGTTTTTATTTCTTTGCCTTAGTGTAGGTATGAAAAAGACTTGACTGTATCTGTACATTCTTTGGTAAAAGATATTTCGCGAAAAAAGTATAAAGTTTTCTTTATCTACTTACAGGTAACAATGGTTTAGAAGGTACTAGTATCTGCACCATAAGTCGAAGTGCGACAGCATATCATGTCTCAGCCAAGACCAACAATTTATTGAAAAACAAAAACAAAGATAGTCTTAAGTTCGTATTACTGAATGGAACATGTGTTCGATGGTTTTTGTCTTTGTTGATATGTTTTTTTGAGCAGGAGTTAGGTATTGGTGGTTAATGTAGTCTGTTGTAAAAATAAACCAAAGTAAAGAACCAATGCCTTTTTTATTTTTTTTTCATTATCAATGCTAACCTTAAAATAATTGAATAAGTACAAAAATGTAACATGTTATTATCAAATGCATACTTACCTCCGTCTCTTGAGGCACATAGGATGTTGCGTCAAGTCTCTAATAACAATTGCAAAACGATAAAAGAGATATCAACAACAAATTATATAATCTTTCTGTTTCAAATAGCACTTTTTGGTAGATATTTTTTTAGCATCAAGGTAAATTAGCTAGCTTTGTACTTTGGAATGAAAAATAAACTTATATATAATTAAAAAATAAATCGACAAATGTAAAATGAGTCCAGTACAATTTTATATTGCAAATTATCAGATCACACACAGTTATTGAAAGCTAAGTAAATGCATCTTTATTTTCATGAGGAAATATTTCGGGTATTTTTAGTACAATAACATAACTGTTTTTTTATAATAAAAGTGTACCATTTTTTTTCTTTACACTTAAACTTCCTTTAGGGGAACAATAACTTCCGTAAGACATATATTTAGATATGTACTTGAATGAGGCACACCCGCAAAAATGATAATAAAAATCATCAAAATTTTGGTAATAAAAGCTCTCATTCTAGGTATGTCTCTCTAAAGTTTAGGTACCATAGCATTCATTGTCGACTTTGTGTCAGTTATAAATAAATGTTCAAATATTTAGTTTAATTTAAAGAATTGGGAGTGCATATTTACGTACTGTTCCATTATATCCTGAAACTTTAATATTTCACAGGAAGAATGACTTATAAATCATAGTTCTTATAAAAGTAATCAAATATATGAAGGATATAGATAACTTACGTGGACTGAAAGCTTGACAATCTATAAAATATATAAGAAAAACTCAAATCGGAGTATATTAAAATGAATCCTAATATTAAATAATTTTCAGAATAAACACAAAACTCAAACATGTCTTAAGACCAGAATGTCAATAAGGTTAGGAACGTTAGAGGCTCTGAGGAGCCAATATTATTGACCTGGCTTCTAAAACAAATGTTCACGAGTCTGACTTTTCACTGTCCCGGAAGGTTTACTATGCATTAGAAGATTGATGCGTTGAACTCTTAGTATCCCCTATATATTTTTAGAAATGGAGTACGCTAGTTCAGAGGCAGATGGGTTTATGATATAAGTAACAAATTATACATGTAATTAATTACAAAGTATCAATGGTAAATTTTGATAAAATTGAAACGAAAAAAAAAAAAAATATTCTATACCTTTCATACTTAGATAAGTTTGCATTAGTCATTATTAAATGACGACGAAAAATGAAAGCGAACAAAAATAACGGAATAATATTAGGAAAACAAATAAATTGGTTTCCTAACTAAAGAGAAAATAAGGACATGGGAGTCGTATCGTGCACACACAAACACTATTCAATAAGCTACTCATGGTTACACGAAATAGCATCAAAGAAATTAAAACAAAAAAGCCATGGAACAAGGGTCTTGAAATATATCTTTTTTTGCAATATACAAAAACGAAATGTTTTGCTAGAATATACAAAAAACACCCCTATTCTTTCAAATATGATTGTGAAATTAGAACTCATTTGAGTCATAGTTTGAATATTAAGTGAATAATCATTGTCTTTCAACCATTTGTTCCTGTTTGAAAAGAAAAGTGGTTGTCTTATAATTATTGATAATTACAAACTAACTACGGAGATCTAATTCTGGAAAACGTTCTAAGAGAGACCGAACATCGAATTAGTTTATGAACGCACCTCGCGCATGACTAAACCATTGGTTGTGGATGCTGACGAGGTGCGTAATTTCTATATTCGAGCTCCATTACTTGTTAATTTGCTTATTTAATAATTCTGCCGAATATATTAGGAATCAAATGAAAACCATTAAATATCTTACTTAACTTTAATTTTTTCTATGACATTGTTGTGGTAAATATAGTACCGAACAAATACAGCGAAATAAAGTGAAAATGACAATACTAATAAATTTAATAAAACTTTAATAAAAGTTGAACTTACCTTTTTCTTTTTCCTTGTATAGCCCTACAAAATATTTGCTCTTTAGAACAGTGTGCTACATTAAAGAGGCTTTTCTAAAAGAACGTTAAAAGCCCTTTGTTTTAAGGGATCGTATGTATTTGTATAAAGTGTATACAACAGAAGAAACGTAAAAGAAATAAGATGCAGGCCTGGCTGTTTCTAAAATAAAAGTATTTTTAATCTTAAAGTACAAAAGCGACTATAAAAAAAAAAAAACTACACAAAAAAAAAAAAAAACAGAATTGAATGTCAGAAGGAGAAGGACAGCCTGTACGTATCTAGAACAAAAACATGCAAAAATCATAGACCATATAGTGCGTTTTGGCGTTGATTCATCAAATTTATTTTAAATACTGCTGAGCGACCTATAAAAATTTATATGTGCAAAAAAAGCAGATATAACATGATTATATAAAAATATCTATGTTTAGCTGTTGCCTCGGCTATCCAATGGGGACAACGTATCGTAAAGTTTTACAAGTAAAAATGTACATGTATGTATCTTTACTATATGTTGTGAATAAGACGAGATGCACAGATGCAAATGCATAACATCTCAGAGCTCCTCAACATCATAAGAAGTAATGCAGGAGATCCCAAAACTTTAGTTCGTATCCCGCTGTGGGATGTATACATTTTCAGATTCAAATACGCAGTTTTAACATTGTTGGGATAAACCTAATAAATTGGGAAAAGGGACTCCAGAGTTGTTAAAATCTATATTATATGCTTTCCAATAATGTAATATACTAACTGCATTTTTGCATTGATTTTTTTTTTTTGCATCTATGTAGTTTCCTTCATTATGATTCTATATTTAGCCTCTGATTTATCTCTTTTGGATGGTTAGGTGTGGTGTCAGACCTTTGTTACGAACGAAAACGAAATTACAAGCACAAGTTGATATCATAAGTACTGAATACTTACTTTTTATAAAGAATAGAAAACCTAATGAAACAGAACATACATAGATATGAGATCTTGAATGCCGAAATACGAACAGAATTTACATATATATGTTTTGGTGTTGGAACATGCCATAACAAATTAATTAACTTCGATTTTTGTGTGTTAAAATATGGGCATTAAAACGCATGATATTTTAGTTGTTCCCTTTCAAAAAATATATAAGCAGCATTCTCCATGCTATGACAACATAATGTATTTGTTTAATTTCAAATTTTGGATCTTGTTGAAAAGTACACGTTTATTTCCTTTTTTATTTGAATATGCAATTTGATTTAAAAGCAACCAAAATTAAGAAAAAAATGAGAATGGAAACGGGGAATGTGTCAAAGAGACAACAACCCGACCAAAGATCAGAAAACAGCCCAAAGCCACCAATGGGTCTTCACCACAGCGAGAAAATCCCACACCCGGAGGCGGACTTCAGCAAGCCCCTAAACAAAAAATACATCATTTATATATATGTATATATATATAGAATTTAAATCAAAAGTAAGGTACCAGAGAAACCTAACATTAATTGTGCGTAGTCTTACAAATAAATGGACAAGTGAAGTATGGATATAATATATCGTTCTTGACGCAATTGAAAAAGAATCAAAGGTATAGCGATTTTATTGTTGATCTTAATCTCAAAGTCACAGCGAGGCCTTCATCATGAAGGAAAACTCTTACCTCACTTCAAGTTCAAGCCGGCCCATCAGCCAGTTTAAGCAAAATAATATGTTAGATGTCGATCTACACATGTTCATTGAAGAACACAGCTGCGGGATAATATATAACAAATGCTGTCATAAGTTGTCCGACATTCTCAATGTAAAATAAAGAAACAATACAAGCAATAAGACAAATACGGTGAATTTGAAGATATATGTTAGATAAGTTAACAGGAAAAAACAAGCACGTATAAATAAACAAAATGACAGAAGATGAAAAATGAAGTGGCGAACATCAAAATAGAAATATCTCAGAAATAAATACGTCATAATTGTAAAAATATAAGAGGATTAAACTTAAGTACGGAGAATTGTCCATTTTGTCAGGAAAAAATATCTGGCAAGTGACAGAGGTACCAAACGTTATTGTATCTGCTTAACTAAGATCGAACATTGTTCTCCAAATGAATTAAAAGTTTTATTTTGCACTTACCGGATCGGAAAATTTTCTAACAATCCAGATTTTAGCAGCATTCTGAAAAGGGAAGTAAAATATCTTTTAAATAAACAGACATTTTATAAAGTTTAAATTATTTTCGTCATATTTATAGTTATTGTTCGTTGTCCGTATGAATTCGGATTATATAGAGTTTAAGTTCATTTACATATAATGATGTGTTGGACAATTTTGTTGTATGCAAATGTCAATTTGAATATTGTTATTTGGGCTGTGTTTGGATATACGCCAGAGGTGGCCTATGGTTATCCATAGGTACCTTTGGTTTGATATTCTATATATCAAAATATCAAACCATTGGTACCCAAAGATACATATGGGTAACCATAGGCTGCCTTAGGCGTATATCCAAACACAGCCTCGATTATGGCTGTGTTTGGATAATTGCCTATGGCGCCTATGGTTACCAATATGTACCTGTGGGTACCCATGGTTTGATATTTTGATATATAAAATATCAAACCATTGGCCGCCTCAGGCGTATACCAAAACACAGCCTATATTACATATGGTTTGATGTTTCTTGCTTCTCATTGGTTTATTTGGTCACGTGTTTCTCCAATATATATTTTGTATTTTTTTCACTATTTTGACATATTGGCTGTGTTTGGATATAGGCCTGAGGCGGCATATGGTTACCCATAGGTACATTTGGGTACTTGTAGTTTGATATTTTATATATCAAAATATCAAACCATGGGTACCCACAGGTACCTATAGGTAACCATAGGCTGCATTAGGCGTATATCCAAACACAGCCATTGACTCGACGTTACTATTTTCAAAAATGATATTGACTCCATGTTACTAAAAATAGTAACATCGAGTCAATATCATTTCCAAAAATAGTAACATCGAGTCAATATCATTTTCAAACTTACACTTCTTACATTTGTACGATTTTGCCCCCAGCAGAGCTATGGAAAAACAGTACATTAACGAGTGTTAAACGGACACTTTTTATGAATAGAGTCAATCGTGCAAGCAGTGAGTTCATAGGCACTTATCGTACACCTTGTGACCTAATTACCTGGTTTTATAAATATAATTTATATGAAAAGTGTTCATAAAGATTATATTCATAAAAAAGTTAACTATGTCCCAAAATGCTGAAATTAAATAAAGTGTCTACGATGTTACTGACTGCAAGAGTAACTTCAACCATAAAATGTTTCCAGGTAAAAACCTCTGGGTTTGCTTAGTAGTTAAGCTGAAATCTTTAGAATCGCCTAAATCGAACTATCCTGAGGATATCCCCTTTTCTCTTCATGTTCAAGGAATTTATTTAAGTCGAATTGTGATAGCGCATAATCAGTCTCAACGTCAAATAAACTAACACCCATTTTGGATATAGGGATGGAAAATGAAATAAATATTGTGTCACGTGATAAATACCTAAAAAAACAAATGATTTCCAAAAAAAGTGGATAAAAAGAAAATTAAAACGGGACAAAATCAATTATTATTCATAACATTTCATTCCCCATTAAAAAAAAAGAAGAAGAGAGAAACAGCTTTTTTTGTATTTATATATTTTGTTTTTTATTTTATTGATTTCATATTTATAGATATTAGAAGATGTGGTATGAGTGCCAATGAGACAACTCTCCATCCAAGTCAAAATTTATAAAAGTAAACCATTATAGGTCACAGTACGGTCTTCAACACGGAGCCTTGGCTCACACCGAACAGTAAGCTATAAAGAGCCCAAAAAATTACTAGTGTAAAACCATTCAAACGGGAAAACCAACGGTCTAATCTATATGAAAAACGAGAAGCGAGAAACACTGAGGAACCACATCAACAAACGACAACTACTGAACATCAGATTCCTGACTTAGGACAGGTGCAAACAAATGCAGCGGGTTTAAACGTTTTAATGGTACCAAACCTTCACCCTTTTTCTGAAACAATAGTGTAACATCACAACATAGAAAGACACACTATAAAATATCAACTGAAATAGCTTAACTCAATCAAAGGACATATTAACACCATTGAACATACACTGAACAAATAAATTTGACCTATGACACAATGTAAATACAAAATAAATAAACTAAGGGAAGAATAATAAAAGTAACATGTTATATCGGTAAGAAATGTTAAACAATTAAAGAAAAATAATATGCTCGAACAAAAATACCATCCATTTGCAATAACTTTAAACACAGGTAAATGAAAATAATTTTGTTGTTAGGTATACGTGTACAGTACCAATAGAGAAAGGAAATATTTTTACAAAAAAAATAATTTTGATGTTCATAGTACGAAGTGAAAATTTATAGTTATACCAAACACTTATCAAAGCTTGTATATAGACCAGATATAACCCTGAATAACATTAAATAACAAAAAAGCAATACAATTAGTATCAACAGGTCAAATAAACAAGAAAGTACGATTTGAGAGTACTAGCAGTTACTGACAGCTAGTTAAAAGCCAAAACAATTAATAATAAAAAATCATGCATCAGAGACTAAAATCAACGAATATACATGTTATATTTACTTTTGTCTGATTACTTTTTTCTTATTTCATTTTCATACTTTATTGAATGTTAAAATGTCTTAACCCTGCTACACATATTTTTGTTGTTTGTTTTTAGTACTTTTGGGGGTATGAACCAGAGAAGGGGACAATAATCCCCCACTTTCAAAATGGGGAAGGGAGGAGGCAAAACATATTTCTTTGTTTGGTTTTGTTTGTTTTTAGGTATGTATGCTTTTTCTTGGTGTGGAGGGGTATATATAAATGCAGGGGCGTAGGAGCCGGGAAAGGGGGGCCATACTCGCATTACCACTTGCAAAAGTGAGAGTCAAAACTATAAGCCCCCCCCCCCCCCCCCCCTTTCCACATACACACACACACACACACTTTTGTTGGCAATTTATTTGTTATTAAAATATAAAATGGCTACGAAAGAGGACATTTTCTTATTTCTAAACTATTAAACTGTTAAAATAGAAAATATAGTTTAAAGGTCTTTTTTTTATTGCCAATTTAAGAAGTCCGTCTCCCCTTTCCCAACTTTTCAATCTACTCCTACTTCACTGATATGTATCAAAGAAATAAGCAATTATTTTACTCGCACACAGCTTATAGAATTTATAGAATTGAGAAGCGCTAGTGTTCAGCCAAAATCCTTAATTTATTAAAAAAAAAGACTAAATATCTTCAAACATAGTAGCTCATAAACCGGTATGCATATTTTTTTTTAGGTTCATTCTTTTTAATTATGCAATCGTCTTTTAAATGCAACATGTATTACTTTCTAATTAAAAACGTCGTACATGTCAGATACAAAACAAAAGTAACAAAATGAATGGGATGGTAACAACCAGTCGTATTGTTTTTCTGCGCTTGTAGTCAGGTCAAGGTCCTCGGCTATCGCCTCGTACCAGACTCCTCGTGCAGACAAAAACTATACGGCAACGGTTGTTACCAGCCTGTTTTTTTTTGTTACCTTTGTTCTGTATCTAATACATGTAATATATAAATTAAGTGCTTTCACTCAGTCAATACGTTATATATGGACCTGTTAGATTATATTGAAACTCGGACTTCGTCCTCGGTCAATATAATCTGAACAGGTCCGTATACAACATATTGGCCACGTCAAAAGTCCATAATTGATAAATATTAGATTATTATGTTATTAAATATTGTTTGCAAGAGAAAAGAACAAGTTACTGCGAGTTTTATCTTATTTATACGAAGGAATTTATTAAAGAAATACTTAAAATTCGGACCAGCAGGCGAGGAAGAATGTAATGGTTATTCATTGTGTCTTCATTGTTTCATGTTTCCAATTCTTTTTGATTAATGATTCAATAAACTACATGGTAAATAAGGTCAAAATTAACGGTTCAATGCATGCATTATGATTCAAATCAGGTTGAATTATTGACTTCCAGGTCAATAATACATCAGCGATGTTTTTTTAGATTATTTTGACAAAATTGTACCCAAATGGCTGCTAATAGCGAAGTTTTATTTCTATATGCCGCTTTTAAAAATGTTTGAAACAAAACAAAATCAGTTTTTATTTTTTTTGGGTCTAATTGGTAGATAACGCCCCTTTAATGTTGACATCAACCAGTATAACTATATCCCAAGATTTCTTTTTTTCAATTTAAAGAACAAAATAAGTCTTTATGCTATCATGATCTCGTGATTAAGTTTTTATGTACATATGTTATAAATAACACTCCCATTTTAAAAAAAAATTGAAATGGCAATTTTGTTCGATTGATTGTTGTTTACAATGCTTAACGTCGTAGTCTGTGGCAAATATATCATGCTTGTTCAGTACGTGAACAAATTAACAATAACTTCAATGAGTAAATCCAGCAAAGCTGGTCGATCGGGATGGAAGTTGAAAATTTAGACTGCAATTGGGAAAAAGTGTATGTTGGATAGGGATAATAGTTTTGCCTTGGAACACGTACAGAAACCTCAATGAGTGGAAGCAGTGATTTTTTAACGTGCCAAGAGCGTGGCATTCTCCCTTCATTGGCGTATATATTACCCGTTCCGTTGGACGTTGAGAAAAAAAATAAAGATATCCATTGAGGTTACGTACCGATTCTAGAGACAGGTGTTGAGTGTGTATTGAAATAACGTACCCATTCTAGAGACAAGTGTTGAGTATGCATTGAAGTAACGTACCGATTCTAGAGACAAGTGTTGAGTGTGCATTAAATTACGTACCCATTCTAGAGACAAGTGTTGAGTATGCATTGAAGTTACGTACCGATTCTAGAGACAAGCGTGGAGTATGAATTGAAATTACGTACCAATTTTAGAGACAAGTGTTGAGTATGCATTGAAGTTACGTACCGATTCTAGAGACAAGTGTTGAGTATGCATTGAAGTTACGTTCCGATTCTAGAGACAAGTGTTAAGTATGATTTGTAAATAATTTATGCTCGTTTAAATTTTTGAATAAAAACATAATATAGTACGGCTTACAGACACACGATTTTTATATCATTTTTGCAAATTTGACTACGTAACTCCCATCCACCTGAAAATGCTGTCAAATAGATGGCAGGTTTTATTTTCCATTATGCTCGATCTACTTTGAAAAGTTCAATTGCTATGCACATCAAATGTGTAGTATACATATCTATATCATTTATGGAAAGCTTAATACTAAAATATATGATAAAAGAGATGATTTTTCATTTCCTATCGTTAATTATCCATTTTTAGATGGTGACGTTCCCTTGTCACCATCTTACGGTGTTTATATATCTCAACTTGTACGATTCGCTCGTGTATGTAACAATGTTTTAGATTTTAACGAGAGAAATTTATGTATTACTGAAAAATTATTACACCAGGGTTTTCGATATATATCACAAACTAGTCAAAACATTTACTAAATTTTATCATCGGTATAAGGACATCATTCATAAATATAGCTCAACATGCAGACTTCTTATACGTTCAGGTATTTCACATCCAACTTTTTATGGAAATATTCTTTATAAAGCACAAAAATGTCAGTATTCACCTCTGAAGCTAACAAAACCTTTAAATAGACTTATTAAGAAGGGATATAGTTACGATACTGTTGTCAGGTCATTAAAGATTGCATATTTTGGCGTTAATATTGATTCACTTATAGGGTCTTTGCATCGGCACTAGACACATTTATTTAAAAACCAGTTGTTGGCATGACACGGGTTATGTTCTTCTCATATATATCATGATGGTATGATACTAAACCCCTAACGGGAAGGATTGTGCCTGATATTCATATGATGAAGACATAATCTTTCAATCAGTTTAATTGAAGTCTGGAGCTGGCATGTCAGTTAACTGCTAGTTTGTTGTTATTTATGTATTATTGTCATTTTGTTTATTTTCTTTGGTTACATCTTCTGACATCAGACTCGGACTTCTCTTGAACTGAATTTTAATGTGCGTATTGTTATGCGTTTACTTTTCTACATTGGCTAGAGGTATAGGGGGAGGGTTGAGATCTCATAAACATGTTTAACCCCGCCGCATTTTTGCGCCTGTCCCAAGTCAGGAGCCTCTAGCCTTTGTTAGTCTTGTATTATTTTTAATTTTAGATTCTTGTGTACAATTTGGAGTTTAGTATGGCGTTCATTATCACTGAACTAGTATATATATTTGTTTAGGGGCCAGCTGAAGGACGCCTCCGGGTGCGGGAATTTCTCGCTGCATTGAAGACCTGTTGGTGACCTTCTGCTGTTGTCTGTTCTATGGTCGGGTTGTTGTCTCTTTGACACATTCCCCATTTCCATTCTCAATTTTATTATTAAAAGATACATTTAAATCGAATTTTATCAGTTTGAAAACTTGTGATAAACCACACGCTGATTTAATATGTCTCGCCACACATGTATCTTTTCGGAGCATTGCACTCGGCCTTTTCCTTTTATTCATTTGAGGAACCAATTTTACCACAATATTCCATTTCCAAATTTTAAAATCTCCGGTAAACCTCGGATTTTTAAGTTTGAAAATACATGTATAACTATTTCGAATATCGTTATCAACGGGAGGATGTAGTATAATCTGGAATATTATCTTTGCACATCATTATGAAAGAAGATGTCGTTTAGAAATAAAGACAATGTCTTATTGCATTTCGGAATATGCTTTGATGAATTATGACAAAATACTTACAGGTAATGAGTCATCTTCATTATTGGAATTGTCAAAATACCTTGAAAACCGGAGTGCAAAATTCTGCAATATAATTAAGGTTTTAAACTCATATGCGCACCTCTAATTTTAGAGAGAGAGAGAGAGAGAGAGAAAAAACCCGTCAAAAACGGGAAACTATAAATTACTGACATTTTAACCATTATTAAAAAAGTCCTACATTGGTAATGTACTTACTGTTGATAATTTCGAGTTGATGCAACTTGCCAAGTGTATTTATCCAAAAGAACCTAAATTTAACAAAGCTACGTGTGGTTATAACCACCAATCTGTAGACATTATGTATTAGTATTAGTATAATGGAAACTGAAATACAAATGTACGATAAAAGAAACAATTTCATCTTTGCTATCCTTTATTTTGTACGGAGATGATCCTCTTAGCTTACCGTATCCTATAGCGTGTACATTCCACAGCTTGTACGAGTTGCTAGAATATTTTTTAATAAGGCTTCCTTGTCTTAAGTCATGAACCTGTAACTCATTGATTATCATTGGTTCATATCTGTCATATTTGTTTCTCGTAAATTATATTGTTAGTCATTAGGCCGTTATTTTTCTTGATTGAATTGTGTCACGTTTTTTAGTCTGAGCCTATTAAAGCTGCCGATACGGTATTTTTTTCTCTCATTGTTGAAGGCCGTATGGTGACCTATAACTGTTGTTATCGCACCTCGGGTAAGTTAGTGATGATATGATTGGTATAACGCCGTCACGTGGAACGCCTTACTGATCTTAATAGGGTATCATGACGTCACGTCTACTATTATTGTTATTGTATTTCATTGTTTATTTTTTACATTTTATACAAAACTTGACAGGAAAAGTCTCCTGTGCGATACGTTTGTTATACGGATCGCTGCTGACCCACTACGGATCTATAGAGGGTTAGTAATTACTGGAAGCAAACATTTTCCAGTAAAAATACTATTAACCGGTTTATGGTTTCTAAATTATTGCTAGCCCGGCTTTGGGTATACTTTTTATCCTTTTAGGTTTATAAGCTCTTGATTCCTGTAATAAGATTTTTATTTTTAAATATCCTGGCTCAGTGCATCACTGAAATGCGCATCTAGTGCATAAAAAATGGTATCGATAATGCTATTAATAGTCTTTTTATGGGAAATACTGGAAGTAAACATTTTTCCGCACTTTCTGTATTCATTTGTAATAAAACACTTATTTACTGGCTATTCGGAAAAATAAAGTTTATTTCGGGCCCCTCGACACTGACGTATATCAACTTGTTTAATGACGTTAGCAAAGCATTTCTGTATTTTTTTTCGCCCGCTTCAATTAAAAAAAAATATGTTTTACCCAAATTATTTCATTTGGAACAGTTAGAATTGCATTATACAGAGAATAATCCTGCATTGTGCCGAAATATTTACCAGTGTCTCTCTGCATAATAGAACACTTATTTACTGGCTATGAGGACAATAGAAAGTTTATTGTACCCCTTGACGCTGCACGTCGGGATCTTCGCGTCGGAAAATAGTTGGTGTCCCGAAGGATAATAATCTTTCTCTTGTCCTCATAACCAGTACATAAGTGTATACCATTTCATAGACAGTGAAGCGTTGTGTTCAAGCTCATTTATTTTATAATCAGACTATTTATCTTAAATTTTCATTTTAATGAATATCGGTAAAAATATGAATATATCCTATGGAAGGTGTGTTTGTGTGTGGCTTATAAATAAATAGACATAATACACGAATATCCTCTCCTGCATAACGACGGAAAGACTCGTGATAAATAATTCATACGTAACGAAACGAAAACTCGATCTTTAGGTCTCTAATATCTACTACTGAACCAAAAATAAAATGTCTAAGAATTTCTAATGATAGTTATTTCGTGAACAAATTGTCATCTTAAACAAAACAAACTCAATCTTTTTCTCGTTATTGATTATACACAGTTACATATACAAACAAAATCTACTTGCATAACAAAAAGACGTGACGTTTCTCTCATTATTGAAGGTCGTACGGTGGCTTATAATTGCTTACATCCACTTCATTTGAACTCTGGTGGATAGTTGCCCCCACACTACATCTCCTTAATTATATATGGACAACAGTTGGATTTCAGAACGACTGACATGCCATAAGTATTGCAAAACAGAGACATAAAAATAAACAACCAGCGGTGAACATTTTTAAGACTCGTAAAGAATTCATAAATATTCATATTTACCGAACTATTTGTCATAATTGGTGATGGTTCACAACACCTAGATATACGTTGAATATAATATAAATCTCTGAAAAAAAGAACGAAAAGGTTAAATAGTTCAGCAAGATGTTATCTTGATTATCAGACATTTTGATATATCTGGTGACGTAAAAAGTAAAATAACAAAAATACCAAACTCCAAGGAAAATTCAAAAGGGAAAGTCTCTTAACAAATGGCAAACTCAAAAGCTCAAACACATCAAACGAATGGAAAACAACTGTCATATTCCTGACTTGGTACAGACATTTCCTTATGTAGAAAATGGTGGATTAAACCTAGTTTTATAGCTTGCTTACATCCACTTTATTTGAACTTTGGTGGATAGTTGTCTCATTGGCAATCACATCTCATATCCTTATTTTTATATTAACCTCTCACTTGTATGACAGTTGCATAAAATTGCATTATACTATACTGACAACAACGTATGATTATGTTTTAATTATACGTAAATAAAATAAACTGCCAGTTAGAGGTTATCTTTTAAAGTTATAGCTTGATAAATATAGGTGATAAATAAGCGCTTCGAACGGAAAACGGGGGAAATGTACATTCTTTGTTATGAGAAATATCTCCCTTACATCAGGAAAAAATATTTTCAAGGCGTCACCTTCCGCCTCGTCGAAAAAATGGTCAATACGGCGAAACAGTACTCAATGCATTTCATCAACATTTAAAACAAAAAGCTAAGTGTAGTGCTGGTAAATGAAAAGTCTTTTCCGAGTGAAACAGGGCTTCCCTCCCAAGAAAGTAAAAATAACTTAGCATGGCGTGATGGACGGAGAGTGTGGTGTTAAAAGATTGAGCTTTAATTCCATATTTTGTTAAATTTTCTAAAGTGGAATCGTACTTTTTCATAAATTCTGCCTTTTGTGAAAAAAAGGTATTATATCTTTATAGAAAACGATATATGTATTTCGTTTGAAGTTTTTCTAGTACAAACTTAGTACGCATTGATCTCTGACACGACCACGCATGTCCAGTTAGAACCAGCTGTGATTTCACTCTCCATTAGAATGTGAAAATAAAACATCTTTATCATAGAAAGGGATATTAGATTTTGGCACTGCCAGGCCTTTGATAGACTATCTATGTTTTTTTACTTTATAATTACCTGTCTTTTCTCTTTTGGTTACTGCCATGGCGGTTTAAAGTTTCGAGGATAGTGAGCGTAATTGCCTGTACTGGTAAAAAATTTGGCAAGCGCAGTGAGACAATTTTTTTATAACGGCTTTATGGGAAAAACAAAATTTCGACCAAAGAGAGAGGGCGTCCTACGCCTCCCTCTGGATTCGCCACTGGCTGTCTCATTATTCAAATTTGATGGGTTACCCAAATAAATTGTCAGAAAAGAAAAAAAAAAAAAAAAAAACGGCATCGCACTTGCATGAAAATCATACAAACTTTCTATAAATTTAGTTATAGCGCATGTCACAATGTTATTTGAGTTCATTGTAATTAACAATTTACGTATACCTGTCTTAAATCTTAAAATAGAAACTCGTTTAATTGATCAACCTATTAACGTTTTTAAACTATATTTGTTTCCTGATTCATGTAATTTCTGTATTGTATAATGTCTGTCCTTTAAATAATGCGTTTGTTTTAATTGGTTTTCAAAAAACTATTCTAAGAGAAAGGAACCATCAAAGCAAGAGGACATATTTCTGAAAAGACTTGATAATAAAACAGAATTACTCATAAAAAATTAAAGAAACCACAAAATAAATACAACTATTAACTGTTACTTTATGATCGTACTTACCAAATGCATTTAGCTCAGAGCAACATTTCAGGGAAATATTATAATAGTAATATATAACAAATAAGTGTGCCTTTTGGTCCGTTTATTCTCTCTGTAAAATTCAACATTTTCTACTTTCCTTTTCGCTACGTGGAAGCTATTTAATATATTGTATTGTGTGATATGTATATATTTGTTAACAATATGCACAGCATTGTTCTTTAACAATGCTATTGTTCTTGTAAGTTCAAAGGAATAATATTTAATTTCATGTCTCAATTCAATTGTCAGCGATAAAATAACTTTTCGACACACTTTTTGTTTATGTACACATGTACGTAAATCGATGTTTGAAATTTTAAAATTATGAAAAAGTAGGTGGAATAGCAATCATGTTTTATTGGCATAAATATTTCAGGAATATATAAAGTCATTCAAGAGTGTAATAACTATACTAGGGTAGTCATTACAATCTATTTAGTTTTCTCCTCAACTTTTAAGTGAATAACTATAAGGTTTTAAATAATTTGTTTGTTTGTTTGTTTTTTTGAGTCTTGTACTGAATTTCATTACATACCTACAAATTATCATACACTTGTGAGTGTGGTACCTCAGCAAACTAATTTTGCGAAACACAGCAACTATGCATTTTTGATTTTGATCCCACCTCCGTAGAATGTAATATAATGTGTAAATTTTTTGTAAAATATCTTTTCCGTTTCTGGCAAGTTAAAGTAATAACATTACGTAACAGTTTTTGCTCTCTACAACGTTTGTCATGTTTCTAGTAATAGGTAGATGCTATTTTACAATAGTGATCTTTAAATTATATTTTCTACACATTTGTGTTTTTGTTACTTAAAGTAATTTTTCCTGATGTCTAAATACTGCTACGAGTGCATGAACTGTTCATTTGTAGGACAATATACCACTCATTTTGTGTTTCATTTGTATATGTTTTAGGTATGTTTTAGGTTATATTATATATATATATATATATACATCAAGAATCTTTTCATTAATACTATGTTACTTTCACGGATAAAATTTTGACTGCATCAGTTTGCTCTAGCAATAAGAAATCATCTATTTGAAATGAACCCGCATGCTTTTAATATGCATTCAATTGAAAATGAAATAATACGGTTATTTAAAAAAAATGCACGTTTTACAGTCGGAAAATCTGAAACAAAAGCATGAATTTCTTTGTAAACGTTTGTCAATTGATTTTTTAAGAAATCCATTTATCATCTTTGGACGTAATTACATAGTCCTTACCAAAAATAAAGTAATATTTTAGGATGCATATGTAGAATAAGTTCCAAAATACTTTTAAATACTGTAACTAGTCGTTGTCGGATGCACCACTGTAATACCACCATTGGACTTTTCCCGAAGTCCGAGAAATAACTGCTTTCTAAAAATCTTGATTTACTATCGCTTAAAATATAAAAACAGCAGTAAATTCAATGACAAAATTTGTCTTTGTAGAATCCACCCGTTTATGGCGCTGATTTTGGCTCATCACCAGCTATATTATTCAATTCGCACGTTTCATAAACTTGGGAAGGTCTGTCCTGCTATTACCGAGACCTTCCACATCAACATCAACAAAATTATGTCACATTTTCAAAACAAAAATATAAATAAACTTTAAATATCCTTTACACTACCATTTCTAGTAACAGAGACTGCTACATATTTATTTTCTTGTTTGTGTATTCTTAAAAAAAGTAATGAAATATGGAATACTACTATTTGAAAATGCATTAACAATTATTGCGCTCTTGATACCTATAATAGTGTGCGGCCAAAAACATGAATAATGGTATACAGTCTCATACAATTACACAAGCTAGCAAGCAAATTACTTTCGACATTTCACGGAACCAGAAATACTCAAACAGAGGTATACAGCACCAATAATTTATCTGCCTTTATGTTCTTCTTATTTTACCATCAAGACCCAAGGTATAAAGATTAGAAGATGTGGTATGATTGTCAATGAGACTAATCTCAACCAGAGGCTAAAGGACATAGACGTTAACAACTATAAGTCATCGTACGGCCTCAACATTGAGAAAAACACATACCGCATAGTAAGCTACAAAGACCCAAAATGAAAAAATATAAAACAGTTCAAACGAAAAAAACTAACGGCCTGATTTATGTACAAAACAATAAACGAAAAAAAAATGATATACAGGAACAAACGACAACCACTGAGTTACAGGTTACTGACTTGGGACGGGCACTTGCAGAATGTGGTGGGGTTAAATATGGTGGAGGCGTTAACTAACCCTCCCTTAACCCGGCACAACACAAGAACAAACTCTGCAACGTTTTATTCGCGATGCTTCGAGTCGAAGGAGTACCACTTTATCTGTATGTTAAATAAACACCATACCAACCCTCTTAGCCGACTCATCCACAAAACAAAAATATACAACCAATTTTAAAGACATTTTTATTTAAAAACGAACAACACTACCTATTTTGGCTACAAAATATATCGGCGATTGGTTAGTATTCCGCAAACTTAACTGTGCTTTTCTTATCGCAGGCGTGTTACTTCATGCATCGAAAATAGACAGATACATGCATTCAGAAAATAACTAACTGGAGTGTGCTTGTTTTACTCCAGAACGCTAAATCGCGTTTAAGCTAACTTAAAGTATAAGTTATTGGTCGATATTTTGGTTTCTGATGCAATTTTTTGAACTGCATTGGAATATCGACGATATGCTATATGTAGCATTTATACATTCAAAGATACGATAAAAAGTTAATACAAGTGGTCTATAACGATTAAAATGTACGTAAAAGCGGTAAATAATAGGCATTTTGTACTTTAAATTGCAATTTACAGAAAACCCCGTCACACAATTTTATGCATTGTTATATTTTATTACTGTAAACATTTCCGTTTGAACGATATACATTTAAAAGTTGTTCGCCGGATTCGTTTTTGCTGTCTTAATCATAACAGTGTCGTGCACGACTCAGTGTCGCAGACCTTAGTGAAGACATATTAAATCTGTACGTGTTATTTCCACTTACACCACATCATTATAACGATTGAAAAGAATTCCTAGTTCAAGTTTTTATCAATATTAATGATTTAGTTTCTGGTTTATCCAGAGAGCATTTCTGGTCAACTGGAACATACTTTCAGCATATTTGACCATTGCATTTTTTATCCCGTCATTATTCAATGTGCTCTCAAATATTTTTTAAAGTGTAATATTTGCCACTGGAAATGATGTTATCAATCATTCATGTAAATACTAAAAACTGTATGAACTTGAAAATGATTTTAATTAGAAACATAAAAGATAAAATATTGCGTCATAATGTCTTTAGAAAGGATGTGTACATTCAGTTTTGAAAGATATTAAATAAAAGAAACGAATGTTAGGAAATGCATGCAAAATATGTGATTTGATCCCAAACCAAAAGGGAACTTTTATTTATATCATTACTCTATGTAAGACTTTTTAAAAGGTGTATTATACTTTAACTAGTCTCTTACTTTTGCAATCGCCTTTGTATAAATAGGTGTGTTTTCAATACCAGACTCAAGCTAGCGAACACTAAGCCAGCGAACAATAAGATGCATCAAGCTAGCGAACAATTAGCCAGCGAACAATAAGAAAACGCGCCAACATGATCATGCCTAAAAACCGAAGACTTGCAATAACACAAAACGTCCTTTTAATTCTAATGAAACTAATTTCCAGTAGGAGAACGAAATGCAATTCCATTTTAATACAGACATAGTTAATTAGTTATTCGTGTATCTAATACAACTGTTTTTTAACCGGACATCTAAAATTCCTATTAGGTAATCCTTTCTCTTTTTAGTGCTGTCTGATTAGACATGGGTTTGTTGTTTTTATAATAATGAAACTAAACTAGTGTACATGTAACGATACAAATAAATCTTCTACTTTACATATACGTTTGAAAAGAAAAGAAAAATAAATCATCTGATTTTGGAACGTCCAGTATTTTTTGTTAGATTTTCTTTAGAAATAAAAGCATTAAACGCAGTTTTCTTCTTTTGTCAAAGAACTAGTTCATTTTTCTAATTATTCAAAAGTATGTCGTCACTCTGGTAATGTATTTACTATATTTCGAAAGGAAGAGTGATAAGTGTAAGAGAGGCACCCAAATAGAACGTAAAAAGAATTGACATAAAGATTTTAGTCCAAAGTTGAGGTAGGGTGACCCTACCACCATCCAATTTTAATTCATAAAAAGTCCCTACGGCAAAGCTTTTGTCCACACTAGGTACAAATGATAGGCAATTGCCTTAGGTTGCCTGGACCCAAAGACCCAGGTGGGTAAAGTTACGGAACTTTTTAAAGTGAGGTCCAAAGTTGGGGTAGGGTGACCCTACCACCATCCAATTTTAATTCATAAAAAAGTCCCTACATCAAAACTTTTGTCCACACTAGGTACAAATGATAAACAATTACCTAAGGTTGCCTGGACCCAAAGACCCAGGTGAGTTAAGTTATGGAACTTGTTAAATTGAGGTCAAAAGTTGGGGTAGGGTAACCCTACCCCACCCAATTTTAATTCATAAAAAAGTCACTATGGCAAAGCTTTTGTCCACACTAGGTACAAATGATAGGCAATTGCCTAAGGTTGCCTGGACCCAAAGATCTAGGTGGGTAAAGTTACAGACTTTTATTATTGAGGTCCAAAGTTGGGGTAGGGTGACCTAACCCCCACCTAATTATAATTCATAAAAAAGTCCCTACGGCAAAGCTTTTGTCCACACTAGGTACAAATAATAGGCAATTGCCTAAGGTTGCTTGGACCTAAGGACCCAGGTTGGTAAAGTTACGGAACTTTTTTAATTGAGGTCCAAAGTTGGGGTAGGGTGACCCTACCACCACCCAATTTTAATTCATAAAAAAATCCCTACGGCAAAGCTTTTGTCCACACTAGGTACACATGATAAGCAATTGCCTAAGGTTACCTGGACCCAAAGACCCAGGTGGGTAAAGTTACGGAACTTTTTTAATCGAGGTCCAAAGTTGGGGTAGGGTGACCCAACCCCCTCCCTTCTTTAATTCATAAAAATGTCACTACGGCAAAGCTTTTGTCCACACTAGGTACAAATGATAGGCAATTGCCTAAGGTTGCCTGGACCCAAAGACCGGGTGGGTAAAGTTACGGAACTTTTTTAATTGAGGTCCAAAGTTGGGGTAGGGTGACCCAACCCCCTCACTTCTTTAATTCATAAAAAAATACCTTCGGCAAAGCTTTTGTCCACACTAGGTACAAATGATAGGCAATTGCCTAAGGTTGCCTAGACCCAAAGACCCAGGTGGGTAAAGTTACGGAACTTTTTTAATTGAGGTCCAAAGTTGGGGTAGGGTGACCCAACCCCCTCCCTTCTTTAATTCATAAAAAAGTCCCTACCGCAAAGTTTTTGTCCACACTAGGTACAAATGATAGGCAATTGCCTAAGGTTGCCTGGACCCAAAGACCCAGGTGGGTAAAGTTACGGAACTTTTTTAATTGAGGCCCAAAGTTGGGGTGGGGTGGGTAGAGTGACCCTACCCCACCCAATTTTAATTCATAAAAAAGTCCCTGCATCAAAACTTTTGTCCACACTAGGTACAAATGATAAACAATTGCCTAAGGTTGCCTGGACCCAAAGAACCAGGTGAGTTAAGTTACGGAACTTGTTTAATTGAGGTCCAAAGTTGGGGTAGGGTGACCCTACCCCACCCAATTTTAATTCATAAAAAAGTCACTACGGCAAAGCTTTTGTCCACACTAGGTACAAATGATAGGCATTTGCCTAAGGTTGCCTGGACCCAAAGACCCAGGTGGGTAAAGTTACGGAACTTTTTTAATTGAGGTCCAAAGTTGGGGTAGGGTGACCTAACCCCCACCCAATTTTAATTCACAAAAAAGTCCCTACGGCAAAGCTTTTGTTCACACTAGGTACAAATGATAGGCAATTGCCTAAGGTTGCCTGGACCTAAGGACCCAGGTGGGTAAAGTTGCGGAACTTTTTTAATTGAGATCCAAAGTTGGGGTAGGGTGACCCAACCCCCTCCCTTCTTTAATTCATAAAAAAAGTCCCTACGGCAAAGCTTTTGTCCAAACTAGGTACAAATGATAGGCAATTGCCTAAGGTTGCCTGGACCCAAAGACCAAGGTGGGTAAAGTTACGGAACTTTTTAAATTGAGGTCCAAAGTTGGGGTAGGGTGACCCTACCACCATCCAATTTTAATTCATAAAAAAGTCCCTACATCAAAACTTTTGTTCACACTAGGTACAAATGATAAACAATTGCCTAAGGTTGCCTGGACCCAAAGACCCAGGTGAGTTAAGTTACGGAACTTGTTTAATTGAGGTCCAAAGTTGGGGTAGGGTGACCCTACCCCACCCAATTTTAATTCATAAAAAAGTCCCTACGGCAAAGCTTTTGTCCACACTAGGTACAAATGATAGGCAATTGCCTAAGGTTGCCTGGACCTAAGGACCCAGGTGGGTAAAGTTACGGAACTTTTTTAATTGAGGTCCAAAGTTGGGGTAGGGTGACCCAAACCCCTCCCTTCTTTAATTCATAAAAAAGTCCCTACGGCAAAGCTTTTGTCCACACTAGGCACAAATGATAGGCAATTGCCTAAGGTTGCCTGGACCTAAAGACCCAGGTGGGTAAAGTTACGGAACTTTTTTAATTGAGGTCCAAAGTTGGGGTAGGGTGACCCAACCCCCCCCCTTCTTTAATTCATAAAAAATACCATACGGCAAAGCTTTTGTCAACACTAGATACAAATGATAGGCAATTGCCTAAGGTTGCCTGGACCTAAAGACCCAGGTGTGTAAAGTTACGGAACTTTTGAAATTGAGGTCCAAATTTGGGTTAGGGTGACCCTACCAGCACCAAATTTTAATTCATAAAAAGTCCCTACGGCAAAGCTTTTGTTCAAATAGGCACAAATGATAGGCAATTGCCTAAGGTTACCTGGTGCCAAAGACCTAGGTGGGTAAAGTTACGGAACTTTTATAATTGAGGTCCAAAGTTGGGATATGGTGACCCAACCTCCTCCCTTCTTTAATTCATTAAAAAATTCCTACGGCAACGCTTTTGTCCACTCTAGGCACAAATGATAGGCAATTGCCTAAGGTTGCCTGGACCGAAAGACCCAGGTGGGTTAAGTTACGGAACTTTTGAAATTGAGGTCCAAAGTTGGGGTAGGGTGACCCCCCCCCCCCCCCCCCCCTTCTTTAATTCATAAAAAATACCATACGGCAAAGCTTTTGTCAACACTAGATACAAATGATAGGCAATTGCCTAAGGGTGCCTGGACCTAAAGACCCAGGTGGGTAAAGTTACGGAACTTTTTTAATTGAGGTCCAAAGTTGGGGTAGGGAGACCCAACCCCCTCCCTTCTTTAATTCATTAAAAAGTACCTACGGCAAAGCTTTTGTCCACACTAGGTACAAATGATAGGCAATTGCCTAAGGTTGCCTGGACCCAAAGACCCAGGTGGGTAAAGTTACGGAACTTTTAGATTGAGGTCCAAAGTTGGGGTAGGGAGACCCAACCCCCACCCATTTTTAATTCATAAAAAAGTCCCTACGGCAAAGCTTTTGTCCACACTAGGTATAAATGATAGGCAATTGCCTAAGGTTCCCTGGACCTAAGGACCCAGGTGGGTAAAGTGACGGAACTTTTATAATTGAGGTCCAAAGTTGGGATATGGTGACCCAACCCCCTCCCTTCTTTAATTCATTAAAAATTTCCTACGGCAAAGCTTTTGTCCACACTAGGAACAAATGATAGGCAATTGCCTTAGGTTGCCTGGACCCAAAGACCCAGGTGGGTAAAGTTACGGAACTTTTTAAATTGACGTATTGAGATCCAAAGTTGGGGTAGGGTGACCCAACCCCCTCCCTTCTTTAATTCATAAAAAAGTCCCTACGGCAAAGCTTCTGTCCACACTAGGTACAAATGATAGGCAATTGCCTAAGGTTGCCTGGACCCAAAGACCCAGGTGGTTAAAGTTACGGAACTTTTTTAATTTAGGTCCAAAGTTGGGGTAGGGTGACCCTACCACCATCCAATTTTAATTCATAAAAAAGTCCCTTCATCAAAACTTTTGTCCACACTAGGTACAAATGATAAACAATTGCCTAAGGTTGCCTGGACCCAAAGACCCAGGTGAGTTAAGTTACGGAACTTGTTTAATTGAGGTCCAAAGTTGGGGTAGGGTGACCCTACCCCACCCAATTTTAATTCATAACTACGGCAAAGCTTTTGTCCACACTAGGTACAAATGATAGGCAATTGCCTAAGGTTGCCTGGACCCGAAGACCCAGGTGGGTTAAGTTACGGAACTTTTTAGATTAAGGTCCAAAGTTGGGGTAGGGAGACCCAACCCCAACCCAATTTTAATTCATAAAAAAGTCCCTACGGCAAAAGTTTGTCCACACTAGGTATAAATGATAGGCAATTGCCAAAGGTTCCCTGGACCCAAAGACCCAGGTGGGTAAAGTTACGGAACTTTTATAATTGAGGTCCAAAGTTGGGATATGGTGACCCAACCCCTCCCTTCTTTAATTCATAAAAAAGTCCCTACGGCAAAGCTTTTGTTCACACTAGGTACAAATGATAAGCAATTGCCTAAGGTTGCCTGGACCCAAAGACCCAGGTGGGTTAAGTTACGGAACTTTTTAGATTGAGGTCCAAAGTTGGGGTAGGGAGACCAAACCCCAACCCAATTTTAATTCATAAAAAAGTCCCTACGGCAAACTTTTGTCCACACTAGGTATAAATGATAGGCAATTGCCAAAGGTTCCCTGGACCCAAAGACCCAGGTGGGTAAAGTTACGGAACTTTTATAATAGAGGTCCAAAGTTGGGATATGGTGACCCAACCCCCTCCCTTCTTTAATTCATTAAAAATTTCCTACGGCAAAGCTTTTGTCCACACTAGACACAATTGATAGGCAATTGCCTAAGGTTGCCTGGACCTAAGGACACAGGTGGGTAAAGTTACGGAACTTTTATAATTGAGGTCCAAAGTTGGGGTAGGGTGACCCAACCCCCACCCAATTTTAATTCATAAGAAAGTCCCTACGGCAAAGCTTTTGTCCACACTAGGTATAAATGATAGGCAATTGCCTAAGGTTGCCTGGACCCAAATACCCAGGCGTGTAAAGTTACGGAACTTTTATAATTGAGGTCCAAAGTTGGGGTAGGGTGACCCAACCCCCACCCAATTTTAATTCATAAGAAAGTCCCTACTGCAAAGCTTTTGTCCACACTAGGTACAAATGATAGGCAATTGTTTAAGGTTGCCTGAACCCAAAGACCCAGGCGGGTAAAGTTACGGAACTTTTATAATTGAGGTCCAAAGTTGGGATATGGTGACCCAACCCCCTCCCTTCTTTAATTCATAAAAAAATTCCTACGGCAAAGCTTTTCTCCACACTAGGCACAAATGATAGGCAATTGCCTAAAGTTGCCTGGACCTAAGGACCCATGTGGGTAAAGTTACGGAACTTTTTTAATTGAGGTCCAAAGTTGGGATAGGGTGACCCTACAACTACCCAATTTTAATTCATAAAAAAGTCCCTACGGCAAAACTTTTGTCAACACTAGATACAAATGATAGGCAATTGCCTAAGGTTGCCTGGACCCAAAGACCCAGGTGTGTAAAGTTACGGAACTTTTGAAATTGAGGTCCAAATTTGGGTTAGGGTGACCCTACAAGCACCAAATTTTAATTCATAAAAAGTCCCTACGGCAAAGCTTTTGTTCAAATAGGTACAAATGATAGGCAATTGCCTAAGGTTGCCTGGACCCAAAGACCCAGGTGGGTTAAGTTACGGAACTTTTTAGATTGAGGTCCAAAGTTGGGGTAGGGAGACCAAACCCCAACCCAATTTTAATTCATAAAAAAGTCCCTACGGCAAACTTTTGTCCACACTAGGTATAAATGATAGGCAATTGCCAAAGGTTCCCTGGACCCAAAGACCCAGGTGGGTAAAGTTACGGAACTTTTATAATTGAGGTCCAAAGTTGGGATATGGTGACCCAACCCCCTCCCTTCTTTAATTCATTAAAAATTTCCTACGGCAAAGCTTTTGTCCACACTAGACACAATTGATAGGCAATTGCCTAAGGTTGCCTGGACCTAAGGACACAGGTGGGTAAAGTTACGGAACTTTTATAATTGAGGTCCAAAGTTGGGGTAGGGTGACCCAACCCCCACCCAATTTTAATTCATAAGAAAGTCCCTACGGCAAAGCTTTTGTCCACACTAGGTATAAATGATAGGCAATTGCCTAAGGTTGCCTGGACCCAAAGACCCAGGCGTGTAAAGTTACGGAACTTTTATAATTGAGGTCCAAAGTTGGGGTAGGGTGACCCAACCCCCACCCAATTTTAATTCATAAGAAAGTCCCTACTGCAAAGCTTTTGTCCACACTAGGTACAAATGATAGGCAATTGTTTAAGGTTGCCTGAACCCAAAGACCTAGGTGGGAAAAGTTACGGAACTTTTATTATTGAGGTCCAAAGTTGGGATAGGGTGACCCCCCCCCCCCTTCTTTAATTCATAAAAAATTTCCTACGGCAAACTTTTGTCAACACTAGATACAAATGATAGGCAATTGCCTAAGGTTGCCTGGACCCAAAGACCCAGGTGTGTAAAGTTACGGAACTTTTGAAATTGAGGTCCAAATTTGGGTTAGGGTGACCCTACCAGAACCAAATTTTAATTCATAAAAAGTCCCTACGGCAAAGCTTTTGTTCAAATAGGCACAAATGATAGGCAATTGCCTAAGGTTACCTGGTGCCAAAGACCTAGGTGGGTAAAGTTACGGAACTTTTATAATTGAGGTCCAAAGTTGGGATATGGTGACCCAACCTCCTCCCTTCTTTAATTCATTAAAAAATTCCTACGGCAAAGCTTTTCTCCACACTAGGCACAAATGATAGGCAATTGCCTAAAGTTGCCTGGACCTAAGGACCCATGTGGGTAAAGTTACGGAACTTTTTTAATTGAGGTCCAAAGTTGGGATAGGGTGACCCTACAACTACCCAATTTTAATTCATAAAAAAGTCCCTACGGCAAAGATTTTGTCCACACTAGGAATAAATGATAGGCAATTGCCTAAGGTTGCCTGGACCCAAAGACCCAGCCGAATAAAGTTACGGAACTTTTATAATTGAGGTCCAAAGTTGGGATATGGTGACCCAACCCCCTCCCTTCTTTAATTCATAAATTACCTACGGCAAAGCTTTTATCCACGCTAGGTACGAATGATAGGCAATTGCCTAAGGTTGCCTGAACCCAAAGACATAGATGGGTAAAGTTACGGAACTATTGTAATTGAGGTCCAAAGTTGAGGTAGGGTGACCCAACCCCCACCCTATTTTAATTCATAAAAAAGTCCCTACGGCAAAGCTTTTGTCCACACTAGGTACAAAAGATAGGCAATTGTATAAGGTTGCCTGAACCCAAAGACCTAGGTGGGTAAAGTTACGGAACTTTTATTATTGAGGTCCAAAGTTGGGATTGGGTGACCCAACCCCCTCCCTTCTTTAATTCATAAAAAATTTCCTACGGCAAAACTTTTGTCCACACTAGGTACAAATGATAGGCAATTGCCTAAGGTTGCCTGGACCCAAAAATCCAGGTGGGTAAAGTTACGGAACTTTTGAAATTGAGGTCCAAATTTGGGGTAGGGTGACCCTACCAGCACCCAATTTTAATTCATAAAAAAGTCCCTACGGCAAAGCTTTTGTTCACACTAGGCACAAATGATAGGCAATTGCCTAAGGTTACCTGGTGCCAAAGACCTAGGTGGGTAAAGTTACGGAACTTTTATAATTGAGGTCCAAAGTTGGGATATGGTGACCCAACCCCCTCCCTTCTTTAATTCATTTAAAATTTCCTACGGCAAAGCTTTTCTCCACACTAGACACAAAAGATAGGCAATTGCCTAAGGTTGCCTGGACCTAAAGACCCAGGTGGGTAAAGTTACGGAACTTTTTCAATTGAGGTCCAAAGTTGGGGTAGGGAGACCCAACCCCACCCAATTTTAATTCATAAAAAAGTCCCTACGGCAAAGCTTTTGTCCACACTAGGTATACAGGATAGGCAATTGCCTTAGGTTGCCTGGACCCAAAGACCCAGGCGGGTAAAGTTACGGAACTTTTATAATTGAGGTCCAAAGTTGGGATATGGTGACCCAACCCCCTCCCTTCTTTAATTCATAAAAAATTTCCTACGGCAAAGCTTTTGTCCACGCTAGGTACAAATGGTAGGCAATTGCCTAAGGTTGCCTGAACCCAAAGACCAAAGTGGGTAAAGTTACGGAACTCCTACAACTTAGGTCCAAAGTTTGTAGACCGTATCTCCCGACTTGAATTCTTAAAAAAATTCTCACGGCAAAGCATTTGTCCACTCTAGTAACAAATGATATTAATTGCCTAAGGATGCCTGGACTCGAAGAACCCGCAGGTGGGTAAAAGTTCCTGAACTTCTACAACTGATTT